AACCCTAACCCTAACCCTAACCCTAACCCTAACCCTAACCCTAACCCTAACCCTAACCCTAACCCTAACCCTAACCCTAACCCTAACCCTAACCCCAAAGCAGGGGCAGCAGCATGGCAAGAGCAAGCAAGGGCAAAGAGTAGACAAGAGAGCAAGGAGCAAGAGAGCAAGCCAGAGAGCCAGTAAGAGAGCAAGGTGCTGCCGCTCCTTACTATTCACTTTCCTGCAGAGCAAGGGCGCCAGCGGCCAAGCAATTGCAGCGTGGAGGTCCCACTTGGACTTGCAGTAGGCATTGTCCCTAGGCCTTGTTGTGCCAAGCCGCCAGTGTGTGGAAGACTTGCAGACCTTGTCAAGCGTGCAGCTGAAAATGCTAAGCTCGTTCTTCTGCATCATGCTGACAGCCATGATCTGTGCAAGTGTGAGCTGCTGCTGTGCACTCTGTGGCCGCAACTCACTGCTGCAGTGACTTGCTTGGTGCGCTGCAGAGCGGTGTGCACGCGTTGGTCAATGCTGCCGCAACTGCTGCAGAGCTTGCTGGCTGCAGCTGCGCAGGCATGCTGCCATTGGGTGTGTGCAGGTTGAGCTGTGAAGTGCGTGGCAAAGGAGTACAGCTAGGGTTAGGGGTTAAAAGCAGCAAGGCGCGGCAAGAGCACTCACCCCAACCGCCACGCTTGCCCACTCCCGCGCACAAGCCACGCAACACCCGGCATCGCCTGAATTCGCGCGTCCTGCTGCCATGCAGCCAGTGCCGAGTTGACAAGCGAGTGCACGCTGTCGGGCTCTTCATGTCACGCTGCTGCTGGCCTCGGGGAGCCAACCCGCCCCACGCTCTGCTGTGTGCCCGGCCGCCCGCGCGACAACTCATTACATGCAATGAATGGCACGTCCGGTGTCGCGCGGCCCTCGCTGCCGCTGCGGATGCGACGGGGAGGCGAGGGACTTGCGCCGCCGCCATCTCGCCTTCTCGCCGCCGAGCGACGCCTGCCCCTGCCGCTGTTGCCCCTGCCGCTGCGCTGCTTGCCGCTGCCGCTCCTCTGCCCTCGCCGGCAGCTCAGAGTCTGGCACGGCGAGCTTTTGGCGCTGCGCAGCGTACGCCTTCTCTTCTCCTCTACGCCGGCACTCTCCACCAAACTGCTCCTCTCCCGCTGGTGCCACTCGCAGTGCTGCGCCCGCTCAGCACGCACGCACGCCGAAGCACGTCTCGCTCGACGTATCACTCCGACTCTGCTCGATGCGCCTGTGCCAGCTCAGCAGAACTGCTGGTGGCGGCCCTTTGCTGGCACCCCTCCCTCCTCTTGGTGTGCAGCCTGTCCGCATCGCGAGCACGCCGCTACGCATCTGTCCAGCAGGAAGGAGGCGGGCGCATAGATTCATTACGCAGCGAGTCGGCGCGATGATGAGCACGCCGGTGTGCGCCGTCTTCGCCGCGACGCGGACGAGGTGCCGGGCGGCGGCGCTGTCGGCGAACGATTGCGCCAGTGGACAGCGTGCTGCGCGGCCGAGCCCTCGCGAGAGAAAGAGCAGACTGCCGACGCCGTCGTAGCCCTTGGCGGTCTGGTCTACGTGTGTGTGAGCTCGATGCCGGGCGCCGTGAGCGCTGCGCATGGCGTCAGCGGGCCGCCGCAATTGCCGCATGGGCCGTGGTTGACGCATGGGCCGTGGTTGACGCATGGGCCGCCAGCGTAATAAGCCCTGACGCGTGGTCAGCCCTTGTCCGCGTAGGTGAGCTTGATGCCGCGCGCCTTGAGACTCTGCTCGAGCGCTGCGCAGGGGGTCAACGGGCCGCCGCAGTTAACGCATGAGCGACGCATGTAGACACTCACACTTGCGCTTCGCGGCGTCCTCGCGCACCTCCTCGCGGCCCTCGTACGAGAGCACGAGCTTCTTGAGCTGCTGCCGCTCGGCGGCCTCGCGCTGCTGCTTGCTGAGCGTGTTGATGGCAATGGCCGCGTCGAGCGGGACCTGCACGTCGTGGGTCTGGAGAGGGGCGTCAGCGGATCGTCCGGCGCCGCGAGCAGCGAGTCTCACCTGCTGCTTGTTGCCCTTGCGCGAGAGGAGCGAGAAGCGCATGTGCGACGGCGGCGCGTCGGGGGCGGCCGCTTCCTGCGGCGGTGGCTGCTGCTGCCCCCGTCGAATGAAGGGCAGGCCGGCGTCGAAGAGGCCCTTTTGCTGCGCCCGCGCCGTCGCCGCCGCTGGGCCACCGCTGCCGGCTGCAGGACCGGCGCTCTCGGCGAGCATCTTGGCGAGCTCGCGCGCAAAGTCGTCCTCGGCCTCGGCCTCGGCCTCGTCGCCACCGTCGTGCGCAATGTGGCGGCCCATGTCGGCCTCCTGCTCGAGCTCGGCCGCGGGCTCGTCTGCGTCGTCTTCGTCCTCCGACGACGAGCCGTCTCCCTCTTCGTCGTCGCCAACACGAGGCAGCCCATCGTCTGCGCTGTGCGTCGCATCGCTCTCGTCGTCGTCCATCTCATCGTGCAGCACGTCCGCCTCGGGCTCGGGATGCGCGGCACGCTGCGCGGCAACCATGTCGTCGACTGCGCGCGCGGCCTGCTCCACGCTGCGCACCAGCACAAAGCTCGGGCGCAGCGCCTCGAGCGTGTCGAGCAGCATGAAGTCCGAGTCCATCGGCAGCGGCTGCTCCTTGGATAGCACGTAGAGGTTCAGCCAGACGAGAAAGTCGTCGAGGCGGCGCCGCAGCGCGCCGCGGTCGAAGCACTGGCCACACGTGTCGAGCAGCGTGCAGATCAGACGCAGGCGGAAGTAGTCGTCGGGCGCGTCGAGCCGCGAGACCTGGCCCGGCAGCGGGCAGCCGCCGGCGTGGCCAAACGTCGTCAGCGACCAGAGCTGGTCGAAGATGACCGACGAGCTGACGAGGCGGTAGTTGTACAGCTCGCCGAGGTACGCAATCGTGGCGACGCGGCGCTGGTTGAGCTTGAAGATGTTGGCCTCCATGCCGGCGCGGACCTGCTCGCACGTCGCGTCCACGACGGCGACGGAAAAGTCCGGGTGGTACGTCTGCAGGTCGTGCGTGAGGATGGCGAGCAGGTGCACGTTGGAGAACTTGATGCGCCACGGCCGCGTAAAGGCCTCGCGCAGCCACTGCACGACGTCTGCGTCGTGCCAGTCGAGCTTGCGCAGCTGCTTGAGCACGCGCTCGAGCGTGCGCTTGCTGAGCACGTCGTAGATCAGATGGCGGATGTAGAGCTCGAGCGGCGTGCGGACCTTGCTGGCGACGGCGTCGCGCTCCGGCGGGTTGCACTGGTAGTAGGCATTGTCGAGCAGCATCACCTGCCGGTGGTCGAGGTTCTGCGCGGCGCGCTTGCGACGCAGCATCTCGAGCATGCTGCGCATGCGCTCTGACGTCTCGCTCGTGCGCAGCAGGAAGCGTCCGCACGCCTCGAGCAGCGTGGCCAGGTTCTCGACGTTGGGGCCTGCAAAGTCGTCGAGGCAGACCTTGAAGCAGTGGAAGATGGCGTACATGGGCATCACGCGGAACTTGGTGAGCTCGGCAATGAAGCGCATGTTCTGCCGAAAGGGTTAGTGCTGAGCTGGGCTGCGCGAGGACAGCACACGCACCTTGCCCCGCGTCTCGGCGAGGTCAACGTTGCGCTTGCGCTGCAAGTAGCGGAACTCCTCCTCGAGCTGGGCGAGCAGGTCAGCAGCGGCCCAGAACATACCCCAGCAGGCTGCTCACGATGGCGACGACGCCTGCTCCAACATCCGGGCAGTAGCGGTTGATCGCAGCAGTCAGGCGGGCATAGTACGGCAGCAGGTCGCTGCGGTTGCGCGACACGGCGCCGAGGTGCTTGACGAGACGCTTGCGCGCCGCCTTGGAGTTCAGAAAGGCAAACTCGACGGCCGCCGAGTCGATCATCGTGCGGTTCGTCATCTCGGGCAGGCGCGCGAGCAGGGCGCCGAGCTGCGCCGCGGGCCCCGACGAGAGTGCCTCGTCTGCGGGTGCGGCACTGAGAGCTGTGGCCTCCTTAGGCTCCTCGTCCGTGCCGAGCTCGGGCGACGTGGGCAGTGCCTTGGCGCTGAGTGCCGGGCTCGTCGGCTTGCTGCCGTTGGAGCCCTTCTCGCCTTCGGGTCCCTTCTCCCCTTCCTCGTTGCCCCATGCGTCCTGCACTGGCACGGCGCCGCCGAGCAGGCTGCTCGGCACCATCTCGCCGAGGTCCACGACATCCTCGTAGAAGCGCCGCGTGTCTTCGTCCTCCCACGGGCTCTTGCCCGACGCAAACTCCTCGTCGCCGCGCGCGTCCGGCAGCGCAGAGCGCGAGTCGAGATTGACGTTCAGGCCGATGCCGCGGGCCTTGGACTCGGACAGCGTGGGCAGGGCTACGCCGATCAGGTCCGAGAGGCTGCATCGCGTCGGTCAGCCGCAATCGCCACCCAGTCGCACGCCTGACCCACCTCTTGCCGAGCTCGTGCATGCGCTCAAACGTCTTCGTCATGCGCTCGTAGCTCTGCTGCCGGTCCTCGAAGATCTCGCCCGAGCGAATGTAGGCCTCGTGGTTGCGCTTGTCCTGATCTTGCAGTCGCTGGAGACGAGTGGATGAGAAAGCGTCGCGCAGGCCGGCTCCGCCACACGCACCGTGTAGTCCTTGACAATGCGCTTCGCCAGCGTCGAAAAGTACGTCTCGCAGAGCTTCTGGAAGCGCGCCTGCATCTCGCTGCTCAGCAGAGCGGGTGGACCCGGCGCAGCAGCGATGCTGGTCTCTGCCGCCGAGTCCGCCATGCCCTTTGCCGCGCTGGCTGTGCCGAGCAGCGTGGGCCCGAGCCCCTTGAGCAGCGCGATGAGCAGCGGCACGTTTGCGTGCTCCCTATCCGACGCCAGCTGCAAGAGACATGAGCAAGACGACCGGCAGCGGCCGCGCCGCACTCACGAGCTCGCGCAGGATGCCGTACAGCCACTCGGCGCCGGCCTCCTTGTCCTCGGCCGCCTCCTTTGCCTCCTTGCGCGAGACCTCGCCGCGCAGCAGCTCGATGACCGCTCCCTCGGCCGCGACGCGCAGCAGCGTCTTCTGGCGCACGACCCGCGCCGCTTCGTCGCGCTCGCGCGCCTCGGCTGGCAGCGCAGCGAGCGCCGTGCGGTTCGGCGGCGCGAGCTGGGCAGCGAAGAGCGCCGAGAGCGGCAGCGCAAAGTCGGCCGGCGCGAAGCGGGCATGGAATGCGGAGAGGATCTGCGGGCGTGCGGCGTTCAGCACTGGTGAGGCTCACAGAGGTGCGCGACCGCCACCGCCGAAGCTCAGAGCTCGCCCGGCTCGCCTTCCACCCGCCGCGCACGCACCTCGCCGGCGGCCGCGACGTCCTTCTCCTTGGCGCAGCGCGCCAGGCCCTCGGGCAGCGCGCCGACGAGCTCCTCGACGTACTTCTCGAGGCGCAGGCCGGGCATGTCGCGCAGCAGCGCGTCGCGCGCCTCGGCGCCGACGCCGGCGCGCAGGCGCTTGATGTAGGCCGTGTTCTTCTTGAGGCCGGCGTCGGCGGCGGCGGGCGCCTCACGCGCGCCGGCGCCGGCGCTCCAGAGGGCAGCGTTGGCGGCGCGCAGCGCATGGCGGCGGCGCTCGCGCTCGAGGCGGGCCGCAGCGGGCGCAGAGGGTGCGGCGCTCATGGCTGCATGGCGCGCGGGCGAGGATGGCAGCGGGACGGCGAGGGGCGAGGGTGGAGCAGGAAGCGAACGAAGCCCACTCCAGGCCAAAGCCACACCTCGGGCTGTGCCAGGCTGTTGTAGTGCTCCGCCAGCTGCTGTATTGCCGCAATACAAGCACGCCCTTTCCCACGCCCGGCAGACGCATGCGGCTCGTGCGCGCCAACGTGTTGCCCGACACGCCCAAGCCAGCCCTTGCCTCCGCACCACCACCTCCCACACCCACACACCATGTCCGCCAGCGCAGACGGCCGCAGCGTGCACGTCGCCGGCGTCGCCGCCGCGTCGAGCGCCGCCAGCCTGTCCGACTACTTTGCCTTTGTCGGCGAGGTCGACGCCGTCGAGCTGCACGACGCCGCGCAGCCGCGCGCCGCGACCGTCACCTTCAAGCGGCCCAGCGCCGCCAGCAGTGCCGTCATGTGCGTGTGCGCCGCCGCACGCCCCCGCGCACACTCACTCACGCCCGCCACAGGCTCAGCGGCGGCGTCGTCGACGGCGCCGCGCTCACCATCACGCTGCCCGGCGCGGCCGCCGCCAGCGAGCGCGCCGCCGCCGCGCCCGAGCCGGCGGCCGCGGCCGGCGCACCCGTGGCGCAGGAGGACAAGCCGGCGGCGGCGCGCGTCGCCGAGCTGCTCGCCGCCGGCTACGCCCTCTCCGACGACGTCGCCGCGCGCGCCCTCGCGCTCGACCAGCAGCACGGCCTCAGCGCCAAGTTCAAGGCCTACCTCGCCTCGCTCGACCACTCGCTCGGCGCGCAGATCACGCGCCACGCGCCGCCGCCGCCGCCGCCGCAGCCGGCGGCCATGACGCAGCAGACGGAGCACACGCCGCAGGGCGCCGCCGCGACGCTCTCGGCGTCGGAGAAGAAGGCCAGCGCCGCGCCCGTGCCCGGCGACTCGCCCGCCGAGGTCGGGCCCAGGACGACAACGACGGTGCCCGGCGCCGCCGCGGCGCCCCAGACGGCGTCCGAGCACGCGCAGCAGGCCGTCGAGGGCCTCAGCAAGACGGTGCAGGCCAAGGCCGGCGAGATTCTCACGCCGATGCAGGCCAAGGCCGGTGAGATTCTCAACCGCCCCGACGTCAAGAGCCGCACCGACTTTGCGTGGGCCAAGCTGAGCGAGGTGAGTGCCGCGCACGCTGCCGGCGAGCGCATCGCTGACGGCCCGCTGCCAGTACTACTCGGCCGTGGCGAACCACCCGCGCATCCACAGCCTCTACACGAGCGCCAACAAGACGGTCAAGGACGTGCACGAGGAGGCGCGCAAGATCGCTGCCGAGAAGAAGGCCGGCGGCGCGGGCGGCGCGGCGGGCACGTCTGCGCCCGCGGCGCGCGCCGGCCACGTGAGCCAGGCGTCAATGCCGCTGCTGCTCGTCGCCGTGCTGCTCTTCTCGAGCCTCTCGATGGGCAGCGTCGCGGCGCACGGCGAGGAGGAGCCGGCAAGCGTGGCCGGCGAGGCGCCGCACGCCAAGGGCAAGGAGAGCTACATCCAGCGGCACATGGCCTCGGAGCACCACATCGGCGCCTTTGACCTCGGCGCCTTCCACTCGCTGCACGACCTCAACCGCGACGGCGTGCTGGACCGCGCCGAGATCGAGGCCATCTACGGCGTGCACCACTCGACGTCCGTCAAGCACTCGCCGACGTACGAGGTGCACGACGCCAAGGCCGACCGCATCGTCAAGGAGGTGCTGAAGCGCATCGACGCCAACGGCGACGCGCTCATCACCAAGGCCGAGTTTGTCAACGCCGGCGCCGACGGCCTGCCGCTGTTCGAGGAGTACGGCAAGGGCATCCTGGGTCACCACTACGACGAGGAGTCCGAGTACTTTGTGCACCACGAGGAGGTCTTCCACAACACGCCCGAGACGCAGACCGACGAGTCGTACAACCACAAGGAGGACATCGAGCACTTTGCGCACCACGGCAAGATCGAGGCCGAGGAGGAGCGGCGCGAGCGCAAGGCCGAGGGCATGCCGACGCGCGAGCAGGACGAGCGGCGCAAGGCCGACGCGCTGCTGCGCGGCGAGACGTACACGTCGCCGTACGACGCGCAGATCCCGCAGAAGGACTCGCCCACGGCGCCGCAGATGGCCTACGACTCGCACGCGCAGGACGGCGGCGCGGCGTACGAGGCGCGCGTCGAGACGCAGCACACCTTCCGCACGCCCGAGGGCGAGCACGTGGTGCGCACCAAGCCCGACGAGGCGTTCAAGGCGCAGGCCGCGGCGCAGGAGCACAACAGGATCCCCGAGCGCGAAGAGGGCGAGACGGCAGAGGGATACAAGGCGCGCCTCTCGGCGCACGCGCAGCGCCTCGCCGCGGCGGAGAACTGGGCGCTCGCCAACCCCGGCCTCGCCGCGCGGCCCAGCGGCGACAACGGCAGAGATCCGACGACGGGCGCGCTCAAGCAGATGAAGGGCGAGAGCGACGAGGCCTTCCTCGACCGCAAGAACAAGGAGAAATTCCAGGCGAGCAAGCAGCGCCCCAAGTTCCAGGGCGTCACCAACGACATGCGCAAGGCCGCGCCGTACAAGGTGAGTGGCGCCGTTGCTGCAGCGTGCGGGCGGTTGTCAGGGTGCCGCTTGGGCGGCTCGAGAGTCCGCCGTTCCGTGCCGTGCCGTGCCTCACACCCGCGCCTCTGACACAGCGTCCTGACTTCCAAAACCAGGGCCGCATGAAGTCGTACTTTGTGAGTCTCGCCGCGGGGCGCCGTATCTGCCGCGCCTCCTCGATCGCTGACTTCGTCCTGCGCAGGGCGAGTTCTGAGCACGCCACAGCACGCTCGCCGGCGCCGCCGCACCGCACGGTCGCACTCGGCCTGCGGCCCGGGGATGTCTCCTGCTCTGCTGCATCTGCGCGCCTGGTGCGCGGCACCATGGTGGGCACGACGTTTCCCTCCTTACCCTCTTCACGATGTACTCGGCACACGACCCTCTCAGCCAGCCTGCCTGGCGCTAATGACATGACCGTTTGGTCGCAGCCCCGTCTCAAGCGATCTGCTCGTGCTTCGCCGCTGCCGGACACAGTGACTGAGATGAATTGAGGCACGCAGCGTGTGGATGGTGGTACAGCGAAGGCAGGGTGATGATGTGCGAGCGCGTCGAGGACGAGCCTGGCGCGCCCAGCGGCCACGTCGAGACGGGTGATGCACGGGCCGGGACAGGGACGGGAGGTCATGATGGGCTTACCTTGCGCGAGCCTCACTGCGCCAGCGCTGTGCCGGCGACCAATGCCTTGATGGCATCGCCTTCGCCGCCGGCAGGCATCACTGCCGACGCGTGCGTGCCATTTGCCGCCTCTGGCGTGGCATGCGCCGCATCTCCGTTGGCCTGCGGTTGCACTGAGCCGCTTGAGGCGCTGCAGCGGGGAGAAGAGGGTCAGGGTGAGTGCAGACAGGCGCTTGCACGAGAAGCGCAGTGGCGGAGGCTCGGCTTCTTGCTGTCGCCGCGCGAGGAGTCCGGAGCTGCATACGGACCGTCGCTTCTTGGCAGAGGGCTGCTCGCCTTCGCCGGCGTCTGTTCCGGCAGGCACCGCGCTGCCGCGCGCCTTGGCCTGCAAGAGCAGGACAGTGAGCAAGGAAAGGCATCTCGAGGTGAGCACTAGGCATGAAGTGGCGCGGGGCCGCGCACCTTGCCGCTCTTGTCGCGCTTAAGGCCCTTCGAGACCGGACGCGGGCGGTCGCCAAAGACGTAGTCGGGCAGCTCCGTGCTGCTGGTGCGTCAGCCTCAAGGCCGCTGACGGCAGGCACCGCACGCACCACTTGATGTGCCGCACGCTGATGCCCATCTGCGTCTCGTCGTACTGCTCCCACTGCTTGACCTTCTGCGTGAACTCGTTGGTCGGGTATGAGATGTCGAGACGCCGCCGCGCCGTCGAGTTGGCTGCGGGTGGTTGAGCAGAGGTGCCAGAGGGCGGCGAGGCGTGGACTCACTGTCGCGAGCCTCAACCTTGAGGCCGATGTAGAACGTCGTCGTCCAGATCGTTCGGCCCTCGCCGCGGGCCTCTTCTTTTTTCGCCTGCTCGTCCTTGCGCTGCAGCTCATCGGTGGCCGTCTCGGCCGGCAGGTCTTCGCGCTTTGTGCGCTCGGCGACCTCCTTCGGAATGTCGCCCGTGGCGACGAGCCGGACCTCGGCATCATCAAGGCAGTGGCTGACCTGGTCGAAGCCCTTGGTGTACGGGTGCGCACATGTCAGGGTCGGCACCAGCTCCAGCTTCATCACCAGCTGGCGCACGCGGCTCTCCACCGTACCCTGCCATTTGAGCTGCAGGTCCGCCGAGCCCGACGAGGCCACGACCTGCAGGTAGTAGCGGTACGTCGTAAAGACGTCGTGCGGCGCAAACAGCTCCGTCCACGTCTCCTTGCCGAGGATGACGCGGTCGACGACCTCGGCGGCCCGCTTCAGCTCGGCCGTCATGATCTGCTGCGTGGAGGAGGTGACGTTGTGCGTGCTGCACATGGACGGATACGCAGGCGTGATGATCGGCATGCGGTGCTGCCGGTCGGCCGGGTACAGCTGGCGAGGCGGGCGATGAGCAGGGTCGCAGTGCGCGGCACGCGACGCGGCGTCCTCACCTTGGGGTTCCACACGCGCACGGGCAGCGGGCCCTCCTCGATGTGCTTGAGCAGCACCGGCTGCGGCCACTTCCACTGGTACATGATGATGAAAAAGCGCGAGACGATGGTGCCCGCGGCGGCGTTGGGGTAGAGCTGGCAGACGCGCGCCACCAGCATCGCCCACGCCACGCCGCCGAGGAAGCCCATGACGTTCGAGTAGATGGCGCGCCGCTGCGCCCACAGCTTGATGCAGCGCAGCGCGTCGCGGAACACCTGCACGTTGGGCACGAGGCGCAGGATCTCGTCGGTTACGCGCGAGCCTGCACGGCGCTGCGTGAGCCGGCTGCGAGCGGCTAGTGCAGCAAGGCAAGCTCACCGCCGAGACTGCGCACGTCGCGCTCGTCCAGGTTCTTGAGCAGGTTCGAGTCCTGCAGCGTGAGGTTGTCCTCAATGCGCGCCAGCGCCAGGCGTCCAAAGAGAAAGTCAATGCTGATGCCCTGGAACTTGACCTTGATGACGGGCACAAAGGCCTCGGGCACCGAGGCCACCTCGGTGACCTCCTCGCGCGCACGCAGCATCGTCTCGAAGATGCCGAAGAAGTCCTCGCGCTGCACGTGCTTCGGCACGACACAGAGCGTGTCCACGTCTGCGCCGGGGCCGTGCACGCCGAGGCTGCGTGCGGCGTCAGCGCGGCGGCGGCGGCGGGTGCAAGGCGCGCGACGCACCGGTACGAGCCAAAGGCAAAGACCTTGCCGCCGGCGGCCTGTGCCGAGGCGTCGCTGAAGCCGCGCGCGATGCTGGCGCGGTAGACAAAGTCCTTGACCATGCGCGAGATCTTGCCGAGCACGACCTCGCTGGCAGGCGTAAGTCGTCAGCGCCGCACGGCAAGCCATGCCAGGCAGTGCCATGCCGCAGCACCGCCTGTGGCCCGGGCCCGGCCGGCGACTCACCGCAGCTTGCCCTCCTCCTTGCTCTCGTAGCAGCCCTGCGTGTGCAGCTCGTCGATGAGCGTCTTTGTAATCTCGAGCTCGCGCGGCGTCGGCGCGTTCGTCGACACGGGCGGCGTGATGCCAAAGGCACGCGGCGCCCCGCCGCTGGGCCCAGCGTCGGCAGCGGCGGCGGCAGCGAGCGACATGCTCGGGCCGGCGCGTGAAGGGCGCGGACAGCAGGCAGCACGCGCAGCAGGCAGGCGGCAGCGGCGGGTTGCGAGAGGACAGCGAGGCGGTGTGGCACGTCGGTGCGCCTGTGGTGCAGGAGAGAGGCGGCAGCTGCGAATGGGGTGCGGTGGTCGAGATGCACGCTCGGATCCCCACAGCCTCGAGGAGGGCGGCGGCTGGACGAGGAGGCGATGCCGGCGAGGGGCGCCACGCGCGAATGTTCTCGTGCGCCGCGCCCGGCCCGTGCGCCGCGCCCCGAGCGTCCACGCCCGCCTCACCCTCCAGCGCCCACCTCACACTCGTTGTCCAACTGCAGCCTCGTGGTGCTGCTGCTGCTGTGAGGTGCAAGCGGCTCGCAGTCGCCGCCACTCGCTGCCCGCTCGGCGGTGCGCTCGGTGCCGAGCGCGCTGGAAGAAGTCGAATGCGGTGGCGACACGCGCGGAGTTCGCCGGCGGGCACAGGCACGGCGCCTGTGTGCGCGGCCAGTTGGGGCGGCGCGCGCGCATGAGCCACGCAAAGTGCGCCCTCGGCGGCACTCTGCGCGCCTTGCTTCCCCACACCCACACCCCCCTTACACCGCCATGTCCGTCACCACCGTCCCCACCAAGCCCTTCGACGGCCAGAAGCCGGGCACCAGCGGCCTGCGCAAGCGGTGAGTGGGCACGCGGTGCGGCGGCGGCTCGGTGCGCTGGGCGCTGCCTCCAGCGGCGCAGGCCTGCTCTGCCTGCGCCGTGCTGGCCGCTGCCGGCCACTGCGGCGCCTCACCCTGCGCTGCACGCTCGGCACGCGCTGACTCGCCGCAGCACGGCCGTGTTCGAAAAGTCGCCGCACTACACCGAGAACTTCATCCAGGCCACGCTCGACTCGTTCCCTGGCGGCGTGCAGGGCGCCGCGCTCGTCGTCGGCGGCGACGGGCGCTACTTCAGCGTGCCCGCCATCCAGCGCATCATCCGCGTGTGCGCCGGCAACGGCGTCGCGCGCCTCATCGTCGGGCAGCACGGCATCCTCTCGACGCCGGCGGTGAGCCACCTGATCCGCCTGCACAAGACAAAGGGCGGCATCCTCCTCACCGCCAGCCACAACCCGGGCGGTGCGTGGTGCCTCGCGCGGCGCCGCACGCCCCTGCTCACGCTGCTCCTGCAGGCCCCGACGCCGACTTTGGCATCAAGGCCAACCTCTCGTCGGGCCAGCCGGCCGGCGAGAATGTGACCAACGCCATCTATGAGAAGACCAAGACGATCTCCGAGTACAGGATCGTCGAGGGCGAGGATGTGAGTGGCCGTGGCAGCGCCGCACTCGCCGCTCTCTCACGCACCCTCCGCAGGTCGACGTCTCCAAGATCGGCGAGACCAAGTTTGGCGCCATGGAGATCGCCGTCGTCGACTCGGTGGCCGACTACCTGGCGTATCTCGGCGAGATCTTCTCCTTCCCGCTCATCAAGGAGTTCCTGCAGCAGGGCGACTTCACGGTGCGCTTCGACGCGCTGCACGGCGTCACCGGCCCGTACGGCCGCGCGCTCTTCGTCGACACGTTCGGCCTGCCCGAGTCGTCGATCCAGAACTGCGTGCCGTCGCCGACGTTCAACGGCGGCCACCCGGACCCGAACCTGACGTACGCCAAGTCGGTCGTCGACGCCGTGGAGAAGGAGGGCCTGAGCTTCGGCGCCGCGAGCGACGGCGACGGCGACCGCAACATGATCATCGGCAAGGGCGCCTTTGTGAACCCGAGCGACAGCGTGGCCATCATCGCCGACTGGGCGGAGAAGGCCATCCCGTACTTCCAGAAGGGCGGCGTCAAGGGCCTGGCGCGCTCGATGCCCACCAGCGGCGCGCTCGACCGCGTCGCCAAGGCGCACAACCTGCCCTTCTTTGAGGTGCCCACCGGTGAGTGCCCGCTGTGCTGCTCTGCGAGCACGCCCGTCTGACGGCACGCCAGGCTGGAAGTTCTTCGGCAACCTCATGGACGCCGGCAAGCTCTCCATCTGCGGCGAGGAGAGCTTCGGCACGGGCTCGGACCACATCCGGGAGAAGGACGGTCTCTGGGCCGTGGTCGGTGAGTCTCGGCGAGACGAGACAGCAGCGCATCGCTCATGCGTGCGTCGCCGCAGCGTGGCTCTCAATCATGGCCATGGCCAACAAGGAGAAGCCGGGCACCTCGGTGCAGGACGTGCTGCAGGCGCACTACCAGAAGTACGGACGCAACTTCTTCTCGCGCTACGACTACGAGGAGGTCGAGAGCGCCGGCGCGCAGGCGCTCATGGACGCGCTTGCCCAGAAGTTTGCCGACCCGTCCTTTGCGGGCACCAAGCTGGGCAGCTTCGAGGTGGCCAAGGGCGACGAGTTCAGCTACACCGACCCCGTCGACGGCAGCGTGTCGCTGCACCAGGGCCACATGTGAGCAGCCTGACGCCGCGTGCCGTGCCCACGCTGATCGCGCCGCCACGCAGGATCACGTTCACGGACGGCTCGCGCATCATCTTCCGCCTCTCGGGCACGGGCTCTGCCGGCGCCACCATCCGCCTGTACGTCGAGAAGTACTCGCAGGACCCGTCCGAGTACGCGGCCGACGCGCAGGTCGGCCTGAAGCCAGTGGGTGTCGCCGGAGGTTCATGCTCTGACGCGGCACTGATGCGCCCGCGCTACAGCTCATCGACGAGGCGCTCAAGCTCTCCGAGCTCGAGAAGTACACCGGCCGCTCGAAGCCGACGGGTAAGCTGTCGCGCTGTGCCGTCGGTAGTAGGCATGGACTGATCCGCCGTCTACAGTCATCACCTAGATTCCCTGGCCCGCCTTGCGGCCACGTCTCAGCCCAGCGTCACGAGAACATCAATTACATCAGATCGAAGCACCTTATCGGGTCTGTGCGCTGCGGCTGCTACAGCAGCATCGCACCATCTATGAGAGGAAGAAGCGAGCTCGGAAGGACACGCGCATCACGCGCGCGGGAGAAGGCTGCGCATGCGCGAGGAGAAGCCTTTGCCCTCGGGCCGCTCCATCGAGCTGCACGAGAGATGGCTGCCGCGGGCGGCGGCGTGCGGCGCCGAGACGGCGGTCCAGGAGTGCGTGGGTGTCGCGCCGTACAGCGAGAGATAGTCTGCGGCGATGCCGGCGGCCCCTGCGGTGAGCATGTGCGCCTGCAGATGCGCGTGTCAGCCGTGGCAGCAGTCGCCGCAGCGCTGCAGAGCTTACAATCCAGGCGAGGCGCGCTCCGGCGCCTGCCTCCAGCAGCTCCTCCTCGATCTCGTCGCGGTCGAGGCGGTCGCGCCTGCGGCTTCGCGTCCGCGCTCCGATGGCCTCGAGCACGACGCGATAGTCGCGCGCTGCCTGTGCCGCAAAGCTGGCGCACTCGCTGCCCACGTCGCCTCGGCGGTGCGCCACGACGTGTGCGCTGGCCCAGCTGCCGAGCGCGAGGGCAAAGTCGCCTAGGCCGCGCATCGCCTCGGTGGGCAGCAGCAGCATGCCGCCGGCCAGTGCCGGCGCGCCGTGCTTTGCGAGGCGCTTGTAGGGGCGTAGGATGCGCCGCACGGCGCGGCGGATGTGCTCCTCGACCTCGCGCGCGCTCATCGCCGTCATCATCTGGTTGCCCTCCTCGGCCTCGCAGAAGAAGCTGTAGTTGAGGCCGCCGGCACTCTGGCCGCCGCCGCGCACGTCGGCCATGCTGTGCTCCTGCGTGCCCGGGCGCCCGACGCTCTGCAGCACCTTGGGGTGCGCCTTGACGGCATGCTCCTCGATCCACTCGCACATGTCGCCGAGCCGCCAGCCGTGCGCCTCTCCGAGCTCGAACGGCGTCGTGGAGAAGGTCGAGGCCGCGGCAGCCGACATTGCGGCGGAGAGCGAGTTGATGCTGCCGCCCGAGAGCGGCAGCAGAGACATGTGCTCGTCGTCGGGGTCCAGCTCGCGCAGTGCGTCGTGGATTGCTGCGCCGTTGGCGGCCTTGCGCGCGGGCGAGAGGCAGGTGCTGAACAGGGCGGAGAGCAGCGACGAGGCGATGGCGGTGCGCAGCGTGTCGGAGAGCGGCGCGCCGCTGTCTTCGCACTCGGACAGCCCGCTGTGGCGGCGGCAGTCAGTGCCGCAATGCTGATGCGCCATGGTCATGGCTCACGTGAACTGGAACGCAGCGCCCTCGCACCAGGCGTGGAGGTGTGCGGCGAGCAGGCGGCCGGCGAGCGTGTCGCGGCAGATGCGCGTGCCGCAGGCGCACTGGCGCTCCCAGCCCGGCTGGCACAGGGCTCTGGTCTCGGCTCGCTCGCTCGGTGCCTGCGCCGGCAGGAACGACACCTGCTGCGGCACGGCGGAGCAGCTCACGGACGGGCAGGCGAGGCGCACACCGGCAGCCAGCGCGTTGTAGCGCGCCACGCTGCCGTGCTCAAGCAGCGGCGCCTGCCACGGCGTGCGCGTCAGGCGCTCCCAGAGCTCCGGCGCATCGCTGTCTGCGTCGAGCAGCTGGAGCGTGACAGGCTCAAAGAGCGACTGGACGCGGGTGTCAGCGAAGCGCTCGCGCCTGCGGGCTCGCGACTCACAGCGCCGTCGAGCGGAAAAGCCGTGGCGCGCCAGTCGTCGGGGCGGCCGCTGGGCCCGCCCTCGGCGCAGTCGGCGGCCCAGACGACGAGCACATCGACGGGCGGCAGAATGTCGGCGGCGCCGAGCACGCTGCGGCGCGGCAGCACCTTGGCCTCCCACAGCTCGCGGCGGCACGTTGCGCGGTGCACAAAGGCACGCCACGCCAGCTCGCCGTCCTCCTCGGCCAGCGGCGCGCCGGCGTGCGCCTCGCCGGCGGCCTGGCGGTGCGAGTACGCCGGCGGCGGCTGCTGGAGGCGGTCCCGGCGCAGCTGCTGGGCGGCGTCACGCACGGCCTCCTCGAGGCGGTGGGCGAGGAGCAGCAGCGCCGCCACCTGCGCCGCCGCCGCCGGCGCTGGCAGCGCGAGCGCCGAGAGGCGCGCCGAGAAGCGCCCGGCCGTGGTGAGGTGCTGGTGCGCAAGCGAGGAGACGCGGTCGCGGAGAGACGAGCCAGGCATGCAGGGCCGGGCAGAGACGGAAGAGTGAGGCCTGTGTCGAGGGCCTTGCGAAGCCCGCCTTTATGGCGCGCCCGCGCCGTGTGCACGACGTTGCGCTCACACGCGAGAGGGTGCAGGGCTCGGGACGCTGGATGGCTGCGCTGCACGCTGCGCCTGCCGCATCGGGCCACACAAGACGCCGCACGCAGCGAGAGGTTCATGAGCCTTCCAGCCGCGAGCGGCCGAGGCGACGGAGGACATGGCGAGGCTGCAACGGACGTGCGGCGGCAAGAGGCCGAGCCGTTGGCGGTGCCGCTGCGATACGCCCCGAGACGCCGGCACGCGGCGGTGCATGCTCAAGCGCAGCTGCTTCCGGGCCGTTGTGCAGCGTCCCTGATGCTGGGCGCCGCCTGCTGATTCAGAGAGACGCCGCAGTGCTGCCGTTGCAGGTGCGGCCCAGGGCTCGGCGCTCAGGGGCATGGCGGCGCACGCGTGGGAACCGCGCGCGGGGAGTCGCTGGCGGGGGCGGCTGGCGTGCGGCTGGCGTGCTTGGGCCGCGGCGAGGCGCGAGCGGCGGAGTGGAGCAGCGGCGGGCCGCCGGCGTGCGGCGGGCTGAAGATCAAGATACGGCGCCGTGCCGCTTCACGCTCAACACCCACAACACAAGCGCGCACAGCAGAGAGCACCACAGGCAGGGCCCACCAAGCAGGACACAACACGCCGTCAAGCGCACGCCAGGGCACGCAGCGCTGCCTGCCGCACCAGCTGCCGTGCTTGGCGCAACGTGGTTGCCGCCGTCCTGCCTTCTGACCCCAACACAGGGGCGCCAGCATGTGTCGTCTCCTCGGTGAGCACGGCGAGCGCCGGCGCCGCGTACCTTTCCGACTGAGCGCCGCGCTGCAGTGTACAAGGGCGTCGATGCGATCCAGCTCTCGCACCTCGTCACGCGCCCGGCACACAGCATCATCAACCAGGCCTTCGACGCACGCCTGCGCCTCGACGCCACGCGCTCCGTCAACGTGAGCCGGCCGCCGTGGGTGCCGCAGCCGCCAGCCAGCTGCTGACGATGGCGTGCGCCTCTGCAGGGCGACGGCTTCGGCGTTGGCTGGTACGACGCGCGAGCCGATGCCGAGCTCGGCAATGCGCCGTGCATCTTCACCAGCGTCACGCCCGTGAGCGCCACTGCGGCACTGCGCAGCACGGCTGCTGACTCGCTCGTGTGACAGGCATGGAACAATCAGAATCTGCAGCGCCTGGCAGAGAAGATCAAGAGCCCTCTTGTCTTGTGAGAGCAGCGAGGCGTCTGACCTAGCGCTCGGCTGACGCCCGGTCTGCAGCGCACATGTGCGCGCATCCACTGCCGGCGCACTGAGCGAGACGAACTGTGAGCGCCGCCAGTCCTGCGCGGTCGCCCTGTCGCTGACGCAAGTCGCTCCCGCTCAGGCCATCCGTGGCGGTACGGACGTCTGATGTGGTGCGTAGCGCCGCTGCTCCTCGGCGCTCGCAGCCCTGTCTCACCTTTGCCGCTCAGGATGCACAACGGCCAGATCTCCGGCTTCCCTCGCATCAAGCGGCGCCTGCTGGCCGCACTGCCAGAGGAGCTCTTCCTGTATCCGCAGGGGCACACCGACTCGGAGTTCGCCTTTGCCGTCTTTCTCTCGCACCTCAAGGACCCGTCCTCGCAGGCGCCGCTGGACTACCGGGAAATGCAGTCTGCCATGCTGGCCACGATCCAGGACTTCAATGGCTGGGCCAAGCAGGCGGGCGTTGAGGAGGTGCGCAGCGCACAGGGCCAGCAGCACTGACACCTGGCTGACGGAGTCCGCCACAGCCGAGCTTGATGAACTTCTGCGTCACCGACGGCGAGTCCGTCGTGTGCACGCGCTACGTGTCGAGCCGCACAGACGAGGCAGCCAGTCTGGTGCGTCCGCTCTGCGCCGCAAGCTGTCGCACACTGACCCGCTCGCCCAGTACTTCTCCTCCGGCACGTCGTTCTACGAGCACGCGCCAGGCGCGTACCGCATGGTCAAGGCGGACAAGCGCGAGAAGATCGTCGTCGTGGCCAGCGAGCCGCTGACCTTCGAGAAGGGTGCGTCTACCGGCTGCTGCTGCAAGTCACAAACTGACCACGTCATTCCCCCACAGCCGACTGGATGGTGAGACGGGCTCTTGAGACCGCGCCTCGCCGCGCCGCTGCTGACCGGCTGCCAGGAAATCGCAACGAACACACTCGTCTGCGTCACGCCGCGCATGAACGTGCTGCAGGTGAGCAAATCCAGGCCCTTCGCTCGCAGCGCTCTGACGGCTGACGCTCTTGCCGCAGTATCCGATTCGCGACGAGTGCGTAGGGGCGGTTCGGCTGCGTTGCGTTTGCTGACATGTCTCTGGTCTGCAGATTCTACGTGGAGCATGCAGGTGAGAGCTGCTCTGCTCCTTGCGCGCTCTGCGATGCTAATGTCCGCCCTCGCAGACTCGCAGATGCGCTCGCCCGCCTTTGCGCTCAAGACCGGCTTCGCGCCGAACGTGCCGCTCTCCGCCGCTCCCGGCGCCGCACCGCGCGACGCCGATGCGGCCGCGCTGCCCATACCCGGCCGCGAGACTGCCGTGGTGGCGCCGGTGCCCGCACGCCGCTTCATACCCCCTGCGACGCCCCTCACGCCCAGCCTTGCGTCGGTGTATGCGCAGATGCAGGGCGCTGCGCCCGCACGGCGTGGTGCTGCTGCGTAAATAAGCAAGCTATGCGATTGCTCCGAGATCGTGAGGGGCGCCTCGGCTGCGAGGGCCGTCTATGTCTAGCACTGGTGCACGGCGCCCGAGCGCCCGCTTGCGGCGTCGCCCAGCGCCTGTGCGACTGCGGAGGCGCGCGTCAGACACGAGCCGGCCTGCTAAGGCTGCTGCGCACTCACCACTGATGACGAGCACCACACAGCCGAAGATGGCCGTCGCGACTGCCAGCGGCTTGGTGCTCATCCACCACTTGCTCTTGCCGCCCGGCGCCCGCTGCCGCACCGACGCGCCCGGCCGCAGCGGCAGCTCGACGTCGTCGACGGAGAAGTCGCCGCCGCCGCCCGCCTCGCCCTCGAGGTCGCTGAGGTCCGCATCGGACTCGTCGTCGGCGTCCTCGCTGCCACGGCCGACACGGCGGGACCGCGAGCTCGCGCTCGTCAGCTCTGGCACATTGCGCTCCGCGCCGGCGCTGGCACTGCTGTCCGACGCCAGCTTGAGGAAGCAGATCGACGGGAAGATGAAGGCCAGCGCTGTGGCGCTCAGGCCGCCCGTGAGCTCCAGCACGATGCCGAGGTCGCACGTCGAGAGACTGACGATCAGACTCGAGAGCACGAGCGAGGTGGTGAAGATGAGATGCCGCGTCTGGTCAAACTCGCCGGCGAAGAAGTACTCCTCGATGACCTCGCGCGCGACGAACGCCTCGAGCGGGAACGTGGTGAACATGTTGACGCCGAAGAGGAAGCGCGCCAGGTTCACCATCGTGTCGTCCTCGGGGAAATTGTTCTGCGGCAGGCGGCGTCAGATCGTGGCAGGGTGCAATGGCGCGCTGGCACGCACCAGAATGTTGCCGAGCGTCTTGTCGGTGAAGGACCAGTAGCCGGCGACGGACATCGAGATGGCCGAGACCGCAGCGATGGCGGTCGAGTAATTCGTCACGCGCTTGAACTTGTCCATCGACGGCTCCTTCAGCGAGCCATAGATGACTGCCGCGGGGGTGAGCAGGCTGGCGAGCGGCTCGGCGGCGCGCACTTACGCAGCGAATTGTGGTGGCAGACAAAGGCAAAGGAGATGACCGCGATGGACCGCACGATGCCCGACGGATGGATGAAGGTGAACTGTTCCAGCACAGCAATGAGCGCTCGATTGTACGTGCGCCTGCTGGCGCTACTCACGCGCTCCGACGGGTCGCCGCGCAGCTCCAGGGGCATGGCCGGGCCGCGCACAATGACGGCGACGATGATGAGCACCATGCTGAACAGCGCAATGGCGCTCGCCTTGCTCAGGCTCTCGATGTCGCGGTACAGCGAGAGCGGGTATGAGATGCAGAGGGTGCACAGCGTGATGATGAAGCCGCGCGAGCTGAGAAAGGACCCGACGAGCGACGGGAAGAGCCAGCGCAGCACGTTTGGAATCGTGTCGCCTGCACGAGGGTCAGCAGCTGTCGCTCAGATCTGCAGACGGATGCAGCTCACCAATGACCACCTGGGCGGAGACACTCGTGTCAGCGAGGGGCAAGTCGTGCGCCCGGCGTCTAGACTCACACAAAAGGCACACATGCCGCCGAACGCGAATGCGAACTGGAAGATCGACACGGCGGCCTTGCCGTTGCCGCCGAAGCAGTGGCTCATGATGTCGATGTACGTCGTGCGTCCGCTGAGCTTCGCATTCAGCACGATGAGCCGGATCGTCCAGTCCGTCAGCATGGCAAGCCCGACGAGCAGGCCAAGCCCGGCAACGAAGCCAGACGTCCGCAGAGAATACGGCAGACCTGCCGGCGTGTCGTCAGCGACGAGTTCGCGCCCGTCCGGCTAGCACTCCAGCAAAGGCCGCCGCCTCGCTGCTGCCGCATTCCGCCTGCCTGCCCGCACTCACCCACAACACCTGCGCCGAGGATGCTGTTGGCCATGTTGACCGTGGCGTCCCAGACGCCGGCGCCCTTTTTGAGCCAGTCGGGCAGCTCGATGTCCTGGATCTGGTTGCGGATGCCCTCGAGGCCGTCGCTGAGGCCGTCCATGCTCTGGCGCGCGCGCACAGGCACAGGGATGCGGTCGATGAGCGGGATGCCGGTGCGCATGCCGCCGCTGCTGGGCGCGGCCCGCCCAGGGCTGGCGCCGAGATCCGCCGCCGCGGCGTCCGAGTCCGAGAGCTCGTCCGAGTCAGCGTCGAACTGCGCCTCGCGCGACGACATCGTCGAGCGCAGGCCGTGCGCCAGCGGCAGGCGCGGCGGCGTGCTGCCCGACGCCGCGGCGCCCGGCGGCGGCCGCGGCTGCTCGTACGACGGGCGCGGGCTGGAGCCGGGCGACTCGAGCGAGAAGAGCGGCGCACTGGCCGCGTCGACGTCCTCGGCGAAGCGCACGCTGCGCGAGCCCGACGCTGCCATGCTGGCGCGGTGCGGGTGGGCGTCAGACGCAGACGTCAGGCGCGAGGCTGGGCCGCCGCCAGCACGGGACGGGTCGGCTGCGCCGCGGTCGCGCTACGGAGGGCGAGGCAGGAGCAGGCGCACGCCGGCGGGCATGCAGCGAGGCGCAGCGACGTATGCGGCGAGGAGCGGACAGGCCTGGCCTGGCGGTGACGCAGTGAGCAGGTGGTGAGGTGGATGGCTGTGAGGAGTGAGAAGCCCAACGCACGAAGATCAACAGGCGCCAGCAGCGAGCGCGAGGGACGTGCGCAATGCGGCGCAATCGGTGCTGGCATCACGTGCGGCGCCCGGCCGGCAGCCTCCGCGGCCTCCTCGTCCTTCCTCTCGTGACTCAAAGGGCCCTGCACTCACACCAGCAAGTCGTTCGGGCCCGCAGCATCGCTCCAAAATCAGCACAAGCTATGGCAGCATCGGACCGCGCCGCACTCACGGCGCGCTTCCAGCAGCTGGCGCGGCAGGACGAAGGTGCGGGTGCTGCAGCACGGCCAACACCGTTTCGCTCACGCCGCCACGGCCACAGAGCGCAGACTGGCCTCGTTCACCTGCGACGACGCATGGACGCTCGGGCAGTATGCGCGCGAGGCATATGAAAGGCACAGCGCCGGCGCAGCGCGGCGCGTCGGCGTCGCCATCCAGATCCACTCGTTCGACGGCCAGGTGCTGTTTGCCTGCGTCGTCGGCCAGGGCGCCACGCCGCGTCTGGGCGAGATGATCCGCCGCAAGATCGAGACGGGTGCGCCTCTCCTGCGGGCAAGGAGAGCGGTGCGTGCGCGTGCTGACTGACTGGCCACTGGCAGTGCGTGTGTACTCGGTCAGCTCGTACGCCATCGGGCGCAAGCTGCTCGGCCAGGGCAAGACGCTCGACGACCTCGGGCCCGACCACGCGCCGCACGGCGGCGCCGTGCCCATCTTTGTGCGCGTGAGTGACGCAGAGAGGTGTGCAACATGTGCCTTGCCTGACGTCCGCTGCGCCACAGTCGGTCGGCGCACCAGTCGGTGAGTGCGGCAGCTCGCCAGCACGCCCCGATCTTGCTCACGCATCGCACCAGGCGCAATCGCTGTCTCCGGCCTGTCGCAGGAGGTGGACCATGCCATTGCAGTCGAGGCGCTCGAGCGACACATCAGTGCGGCGGGGCCTGCTCACTAGAGCGCCAGGGTCGCGACGGCCGAGCAGGCCATTGTCTATGCCTCGCTGTGCGGCAGCATGTGATTGTCTATGGCACTTTCTCGCGCAGGCGCACCGTAGCCGTGAGAGCGGGCTACGTCGCAGCGATGTTGCATGAGACGCAGAGTGGAGTCGAGTCGATAGCAGAGCCGAGTGAGGCGGGTGCACTGCGTACTGCGGCTGTTGTCTGCGTCGGCGCTGCGCCGCCCGTTGCCGCGCGCCGTGCCGTTTTGCTTCCGCGACGCGGTGCGGCGCATCCGCACAAGCGCTCTGCCTTGCGCCGCCGCAAAGGCAGCTGCCCACCTCGGGGCCCTCGACATCGGCTCCGCGGCACACCGAAGCGCAGAGCACCGCAGGCACCACCGTAGCGTGCACTCTGTTTCACCGCCAATCCTCGGGCCTGCGCGGGAGGCGGATGAAGTTGGCCGCCGTGCTAAGTGTGCTCGCGGCATCGCCATCCCTCCGACCGACGGGCACCCGGGCCAGAGGGCCGCCGCAGCGCCAGATACCCTGCGGCGCGGGCATGAGAGGCGGATCTGTTTGTTCGGAGCAACGTGCACAGGCCCAGGCGCTCAGCGATTCGACATCGAGATGCGCTCCGGCGGGGCGGGAAGAAGCTGCCCGGCGCTAGAGGCCGCAGCAGGACAGCTCGGGTGATGTCTGCTCGCACAGTCTGCCACCGCCGTGTCGTCACTGCGATCTGTGCTGCCTGCCTCGTGCTCACTTGCAGCGCTCGTCTGGTTGCGCGAGGCACGAGCATGCTGTCCTGCGTGCGCCGCCGTAGCGTCGCAGGGGCGGTTGCAACGGCGGCAGACGGTGGTCCTCGTCGCGTCGCATCTGCCCGTGCGTGCGCTCGGTCCTCTGCCATGATGGCACCGCCAGTGACGTCTGCGGACGCGTGAACGCCATGCCGCAGAGGCACCAGATAGCTCGATTGGACGGCGTGGCAGGTTGAGATATGTGAATGGGCCTCACCCTTATATGGCCGCGGACAGGGCCTGACTCGCACCGCCATCTTCCCCAGAGCCGACCCTCCGCCGCCATGGCCGACCGATACTCGCACCGCCACGTCAAGCCGGCGCCAGACCCGGCAACACTGCGGCAGTTCAGCGTGCCGCCCTTCTCGACCCGCGAGCTGCTCGCCGCCATCCCGACGCACTGCAGCGACATCTCGACGCTGCGCTCGCTCAGCTACGTCGCGCGCGACTTTGCCATGTGCGGCGCAGCGTACGTGGTGCTGCACAAGCTCTCGCCGCAGCTCGAGGGCTACGCGCTACTGGCCCTCCGTCTGGCGTACGTCGCGTTCCAAGGGCTCGTCTTCACCGGCATCTGGACGCTGGCGCACGAGGGCGGGCACCGCTCGCTCTCCAAGACGCGCTGGGTCAACGACGCGGTGGGCTTTGTCTGCCACACCAGCCTGCTCGTGCCGTACTTTCCCTGGCGCATCATCCATGCGCGGCACCACGCCGCGACGGGCCATGCCACGCGCGACGAGAACTTTGTGCCCCGCTCGCGCGAGGAGAAGGGCCTCAAGCCGCTGCGGCCGGTGGGCGAGGCGGACGCCGCTGACCTGCCGGGCGCGCCGTCCTTTGGCGAGTGGCTGGCCGAGACGATGGAGGATGCGCCACTCGCCAACTTTGTCACAATCGCCATCATGGAGCTGCTCGGGATGCCGCTCTACCTCTGGCTCAACTTCGGCGGGCAGCGCCACTATCCGTTCGGCTCGGGCCGTGAGTCGGCCGCGAGCGAAGCCTGCGCCGTAGCTGATGACCCCTTCGCAGATTTCCTGCCCTCGGCGCCGTTCTTTACGCCAGCGCAGCGCAGCCAGGTGCTGCTCTCGGATGCCGGTCTTGTTGTGGTCATCGGCGCGCTGATCGCGTGGACGCGGGCGACGAGCGTGGCAACAGTGTGGTGGGCGTACGGCTTCCCGTACCTCGTCTGCAACTTCAACATCGTCCTGATGACGGTGCGTAAGCTGCGAGACCGCGACAGCACTGCGCTCACCTTCCTTGCGCCGCAGTTCCTCCAGCACACGGACCCGTTCCTGCCGCACTACTCGGACCGGGAGTGGACGTGGTCGCGCGGCGCGCTGTGCACCATCGACCGCAGCTTCTTTGGCTGGGTGGGCCCGTTCTTCACGCACTCCCTCTGCGAGGTGCGTGCGCTGCCGTGTGTGGCTCGCTGCCGGCCGCACTGACATTGCATGCAGACGCACGTGGTGCACCACATCAGCTCGCGCATCCCGCACTACCGCGCGCACGAGGCGACGGCGGCGCTGCGCGCGTTCCTCGGCGAGCACTACCAGGCGTCGCCGGAGAACATGCTGCTCTCGCTGTGGAAGAACAATCTGCACTGCAAGACGGTCGACCCGCGCGAGGATGTCATGGTGCGCCGGACGGACGTGTGCGTGAGGGTGCCCGCTTGCTGACGCTGCTGCAGTTCTACCGCGACGCCCACGGGCACGCCAAGGCCGTGCTGGCGCCGCGCGAGGCGGCCAGCTCGGCGTGGAGCTCGGCGCCGAGCAGCAGCGCGTCCGAGGCGTGCTCGTCGCCGGCGTCGTCGGCCGCGAGCGAGGCCGACGAGTGGGAGCGTCCCGCGGCGCTGCTGCAGCGCAAGCAGCAGTGATCGCGCCGCGCATGCCCGACTGCGCCTCCCGGCCGCCTCTCTGCACCGTGCATCGTCCCTGCTGCGCATGTGCACCCACCTAGATTGCATGTAGTCTATCTGTCCCATGTGCGGCGCGACGCGAGGCGGCGAGCGGTGGTGGGAGGGCAGAGGCAGACCAACACCTCGCTGTTGTGGCTGTGGGCCGTCACGCGCCGCGGCTGAATTTGAAGGCGGCGGCCCGAAATAGCCGCGCGCCGCCGGAGCTTGTCCAGCACAGCGGCAGCAGGCCGATTTGACGTCTGCCGGCAGGCCCGCAGCGTCCATCAAACGACGACGACGCAGCACCGGCAGCATGTATGCGCAGCCGCAACGCAGCGAGCGACGAGGAGTGTGCGGCCGGGCGTGGTCGTGTGAGCGCTCGCGGCGCATGACGGCGAGCGGGTGCGGCATGGACGAGGCGGTGTGGAGGTGAGGAGCAGGCCGCCGGCGGAGCGCCAAGACCGCGCCGCCACGCAGCAGAGCACCGCGCAAAGCGAGAGAGGTGAGGCGCTGCTGTGCGTCCATCTGGCCCGCTGCTGCCACCCCGCCTCAGCCGCTCAGACGCTGCTGCTGCTGCACGCTGCTGCACGCTGCGGCCGCCTCGCCGCTGCCGCCGACGCCTCAAAAGCCGCCGCGCCGCCCGCTGCGGCTGCCCGCCATGCCCTACGCCTTCCCCGCTCCGCCCGCCTCTGCCCCGCCGCGCCCGCACCGCGCTGCCACTGCGCCGCACCTTGCTCCGCTGCCGTACCGCGACGAGCCCGACGCCGCCTCTGCGCCGCACCCGCTGCGCGCCAGCGTCGACGACGACGACGACGACGACGAGCCGCGCCTCTTCCGCACTTCGCTGCACCACGCCGCCGCACCGCTGACCGGCAGCATGGCCGAGCACTCGCATCCGCCGCACGCGGGCTTCAGTGCTGCCGCTCCGCAGCGCGGCAGCGGCCACGGCGCCTCGGGCTCGCTCGGCGGCCTGCTCGAGCCCATCGCACAGCCGGCGCGCCGCTGGTACCGCGAGCAGAGCTGGACGCAGGCGCGGCCCAAGACGGACAACAAGCGCCGCATGCAGGTGAGTGCGCGGCGAGGCCAGCAGCGGGCGGTGCGCAGAGCAGCGGCGGGTGCGGCGAGCTGCTGAGGCAGCCAGAACGGCGAGGCGGCGAGGCCGAGGTCGCAGCTGGACGGGCAGAGGCGGCCACAGAGCGAGAGCTACGCGGCCGGCAGGCGGGCGCAGCCCACCAAGGAGCAGGCTGTGCCATGTCTGCATCTGCTGCGCCTGCTGCGCCATCGCTGCTGCGGCTGCGGCTGCCGGTGCTGCTCTGCGCTGTCCTTCGCCTTGCTGCCGCTGCGGCATCGCTGCGCCGGGCGCTGTGCTGACCGGCACGCGCAGCTCATCGTCGCCTATGCGCCCGACTGGATCATCACGCTCGTCGTCGCCGGCCTGCTGGCCCTCGTGAACGACGCATACGGCTTTCGCCGCGAGTTCAGCCTCACCGACACGTCGCTGCAGGTGCGTGTGTGAGGTGTTCGCTGCGCCGCACGGCCGCTGACCCCTGCACACAGCACACGTACTCCGAGACGGAGCGCGTGACGGTGCCCGAGCTCGCCGTCTACTGCCTCGTCATCCCGAGTCAGTGCTGCGGCCCGGCCCGGCGCCTGTTGTGTCCGTCTGACGCCCCTCGCGCAGTCATCCTCATCCTCATCTTCTCGCTGGCGGTGAACCGCAGCGTGTGGGACTTCCACGCCGCGCTCCTCGGCCTCGTCCTCACCCACGCCCTCACCATCACCGCCACGACGCTCATCAAGGTCTCCGTCGGCCGCCCGCGCCCCGACATCATCGACCGCTGCCAGCCGCGCGAGGGCGCCGCCAATGCGCCCGTCTACGGCCTCGTCACCGAGACCATCTGCACGCGCGACCTCTCGTCGCACATCATGTCCGAGGGGTGAGCGCCGGCTGGCTGCCTCGTGCTGTGAGCTGCGCTGACCCGCCGCCGCCAGCTTCCGCTCCTTCCCGAGCGGCCACTCGAGCGCCGCGTGGGCCGGCCTGACGTTCCTCAGCCTGTACCTGGCCGGCAAGCTGCACCTCTTCAACCGCAAGGGCCATGCCGCGACGGGTGAGTCGCACGCGAGATGCGTGCCGCGGCCGCCTGCTGACGGCCTCTGTGCAGCCTGGCTCGTCTTCTTCCCGCTGGTCGGTGCTGCGCTGATCTGTGAGTCTGGCCCTGCGCGCCGACCGAGGCGGTGCTGACCTGCGCGCCCAGCCGTGAGCCGCACGATGGACTACCGGCACCACGCGACGGACGTCATCGCCGGCGCCATCCTCGGCGTGCTCATCTGGTGAGTTCTCTACCGCACCCGCTTGAGCGACCTGTCTGATCCACGCCGCCCAGCCTCGGCACGTACTTCCGCTACTACCCCTCGCTGCACCACCCGCGCTGCCACAAGCCGTGGGCGCCGCGCGTGCCGCGCGTTGAGCCCGTCGACGGCGAGGAGCACTCGGACATCGAGGTCGGCGCGCACCCGCACCGGCACCTGCAGGACCTCAGCTCGCACGACGACGAGATGCAGCGCGAGACAGTGAACCACTAGATGCGCACGGCGCCGGGCCTTCTGTCGCCATGTCACGGCAAAGTGCAGGGCGATTGAGAGGCGAAAAAGTACAGTTACATATAACAATCAGTGACACGCGCCACGGATGAGGGAGACGGGTGGGCCAGCGCAGCATCCGGTGTGGCCTGGCGCGCGCAGGCCGGCACCGCGACGCAGGGGAATCTCTCAAGCCAGGGCTGAGCAGGGTGGACGGAACGGCGGGGGCAAATACAGGCAGCCCGGCGATGCTCGAGGAGAGGCGGCGACGGCAGCAGCAGCAATGCGCGCCTAGTCCGTGCCGGACGCGGCCGCCTTCTTGCTGCCCTTGCCGCTGGCCTTGATGAGCGTCTTGTGGATGTGCGGCAGCACACCGCCGCCGGCGATGGTGGCGCGGATGAGGCTGTCGAGCTCCTCGTCGCCGCGGATGGCGAGCTGCAGGTGGCGCGGCGTGATGCGCTTCACCTTGAGGTCCTTGGAGGCGTTGCCTGTGCGCGGCAGGTCAGCGGGAGAGCAGGTGCAGGCACAGGCAGCGCGGCGACGCACCGGCAAGCTCGAGCACCTCGGCCGTCAGGTACTCGAGGATGGCGCTCGTGTACACGGCCGCCTTGGCGCCGATGCGCACGTGGTTCTGCGTGCGGGCCTTGAGGTGGCGGTGGATGCGGCCGACGGGGAACTGCGCCGCGGCGTCAGTACGGCTTCGCAGCTCGACAGAGGACGCGCGGCGAGCCAGGCGGGGCTACGAGGGACGCGTCGCCCAAGCGAAACACTGCCACGCTGTGTGGACTTGCGAGGCCAGCACGTGTGACCGACCATGTCCTCGATGACGCCAGGCCCGGCGTGTCCCAACTCTGCATGCACACAGCTGCGAGCCGCGTCGCAAGCACGCGTGGTCGCGGCCCTGACGCGCGCCGCACGCGGATGCCTCGCCCAGGCAGCGCCGCCACGGCAGCGCAGAGCAGCACCGGCGCCGAGCAGCATGTGCGCTACAGATGCGCAGCACACGCCAGCCTCCTCGCTCTGCGCATGCTCTGCGCGGCTGGCGACGCACCGGCGCCGTCGCGTCGCCCGACAGCGACGCGCGCCTCGCTGCTGGCCACAGCACGCCACGCTCACACCCCAGCACCACTGCTGCGCACCACCGTGTCCACGACGCCGCACTCACCTGCAGGCCGGCCTTGGAGCTCTGGGTGACGGCCTTCTTCTTGTCGCCCTTGCTGGCGGCGGGTGCGGCGGCGCCTGCCTTGCCGCCACGAGCCTTTGCGTCAGACATGGTAGAGAGGTGGGTGCGGGTGGGTGGTGTGCGGTGCGGTTGTGCAGAGAGTGCGGGTGAGCGAGTGGGCAAGCGAGGTGGGCGAGGTGAGGGGACGGGAGGCAGGAGCGGCGAGAGCAAGCGCGAGTGCGTGACGCCGTGACGCGCGCTGCCCGCCGCCGCCGCGCCGCTTTCGTGGCCTCGGCGCCGCGCCGTTTCCGCGACGCGCCGCGTTTCGTGGCGCAGCGCTGGCGCAGGCCGCGCCCGCTGCTCTCCTGCGCAGGCCCGCCCTCTCAGAGCGCTGCTGCGGCTGGTGCTGCTGCGCTCTGCATTGTTGATGTGCAGAGCCGCTGCGAGCGTCGCTGCAGCACTCGAGTGCAGCCGCTAGCGGTGCGGCAGACGAGAGAGCGGGCATCTCAGGGCCTTGGCCGGCTGCGCGCCGCCCGGCCGTTCCCACGCTCCCGACTGCGACCGCCTCCCGCTCCTCAAACGCTCCCTGCGCCGCCCTCGTGCTGCAGCGCGCAGCCTCTGCGCTTGCCCCCGATCTGCATCGCAGCTGCACCTGCCGCCGCCTGAATGCCGCCGCGTGCTGGCCGGGTCCGCTTCGCGCGCTCGGTGAACAGATGCCGGCGCCTGTGCTGCGGCGTGCGCTCGTTGCTGATCCGCCGGCCGCCAGCGAGCGCGCCCCTCGTCCGAGGCGTCGTCGGCGGCGTCGGCGTCGGGCCGTCCCCCGAACGCCGCGCAGCACCTGCTGCCGTCGACGGCGTCGAGTCGGCTCAGCGATCTCGACGAGCCTGCCGGCAGTGATCATGGCGCCAGTGAGCTGCTGGAGGAGGACGACGACGACGACAAAGGCCTGCTGCTGGCCATGTATGCGGCGCACGGCCGCATCGGCGCCGCCTTCTACGATGCGCCGCAGCGCAAGCTGCTCCTGCTCGAGGACGCGCCCGAGCTCGGCCTGGCGCCGTCACATGTGCCTCGCGAGCCCGGCGCCGACGAGTCGGCCGGCGGCAGCACGGCGTCGACGGCCGACGATGCGCGCGCCAAGGAGGTGGCCGAGATGTGTAAGGCGCGACGGCAGCGCCGCGCTCGCATGGCACTGAACTGCTCTCCAAGTGATCGAGCAGCTGAAGCCTGACTGCGTCTTTGTGCCGTCCAAGACGTCGCCCGCCTCGCTCGACGCCATCACGGCGGCATGTGAGGCCAGGCACTGCCGTCTGCCGCAGCACTGCTCACGCTTCCCTCAGTGCGCGGCGCCGGCGGCAAGCTCGAGGTGCGCCCGGGCAACGAGTGGGGCTACCTCGCAGGCAAAGGGCGCATACATGCGCTGCACCTGCCGGCCTCCAACGCAGAGGAGGCCGATGCGATGCATGCGCCTGGAGGCGCCGACACTGAGCTGCGCGACGCCCTGCGAGTCGGCTCGCTCGTGAGCCTCGAGACCATGAAGCTTTCAGTGGGTCGAGCCAGGCGACGTGCGTGTCGGCTTACGCTCACGCAGCGATCGCAGACTGGCGCTGCGAACTCCCTGCTGCTGCATCTCACGCGCGCCTCTGGCCTGGGCGACGCTGCGCTGCCCATCACAAGCGTCGAGATGCTGAGCCTGGACGAATGCGTGTCGGTGGATGCAGACTCGCGCCTCGGCCTCGGCGTCTTCTACGAGGAGGCACACGCGACGCTGCACAGCTCGAGGGGCAAGGAAGGCCTGAGTATCTACAGTGCGTGTCGCGCGCCGAGTCGAGTTGCGCTAGCTGACACCGTCCTACAGCCCTGCTCAATCAGACAGTGACGCTGAGTCAGTGGCGAGTGGCAGAGCAGCGACGCGATTCTGACGCAGCTCTACCAGTGGGCCGCCACATGCTCCGTCGCTGGCTGCTCCTTCCCTCCCGCTCCCTTCCTCTCCTCAACGCGCGCCTTGACGCTGTGGAGTGTCTCTCTGCGCCCATCAACTCGAACACCACAGCGGCGCTTCGCACCTGCCTCGGAGGCGTCCCGATCGTGCCCAAGCTGGTCCTGCGCGTGCGAAAGGGCGATGCCGACACTGGCGTGCTCAAGCGCATTGTCACGGTAAGGCAACAGAAGCCGTGCCGGGTGTGTGCTCACAGCAGCGCCAGTTCTGCCAGGCCGCCCGCAACGTCCGCGGCGACGTGCGTACCCTCGAAGGCGCCGAGAGCGTGCCTCTGTTGCGCAAGGTAAGATCAGAGATAAAGCAGTGGCCAGCGCTCATGAACGACTTGCAGATCCAGGACTCATTTAGTGCACGAGCCTTCGTGAAGCTCAGCGACGGTGTGCTGGACGTGGTACGTAGAGACCGCTCAAACCCGGCAGCCCCGCTCAGTGTCGCTTTGCAGATCAACTGGGACGAAAGGTAGTCAAGTCATCGATTAGCAAGGGGCTCCTGTCTGACGTCTCCGCGTCCAGCGAGGAGCAGCGACGCACGTGCGTCCAGCCGGGCATCGACAGCGAGCTCGACGACTGGAAGCGCGCGTACGCGGCACTGCCCACCACGCTGTCGCAGATCGCCTCGACGCTGGCCGCAAAGCTGGAGCTCGACGTGGCCATCTCGTGGGTACATGTGCACTACTGCCAAGGACATCCCGCTGATGTGCAAGCGCAGCATCGTGTACTTCCCTCAGCTGGGCTACCTGCATGCGGTGCCGCTCGTGGAGGGAGAAGACGCCGAATTGGCTGGCGAGCGCTACGGATGGCAGTTTCAGTTTGCCAGCGAGGTGGCGGGCTACTGGCGCAGCGACGAGAGTCGGCACCTGGACCACCACTTTGGCGATCTGCATTCGCTGATCGCAGAGCGCGAGATCGAGATTGTGCATCGTCTGCAGGAGGAGATCAGCGAGTATGCGCCGTTTCTCGTCCAGTGCCACACGCTGTGCACGGAGCTCGACTGGTGAGTGCGCTGGCGCCGTCTCGCCGTGGCGCACTCACGCGTCTGCAGCCTCCTCTCTTTTGCGGCTACGGCCAAGCAGTACGACTACGTGCGGCCCGAGCTTGATCTCTCGCCTCACCTGATGACCCGCGACGGGCGTCACCCGCTGCAGGAGTTCTGTGTCGACCAGTTCGTGCGTGCAGCGCATCACGCACTACTCGTCAGCGCGCTGCTGATCAGCGTGCCAGGTGCCGAATGACACGCTGCTCATCGCCGGGCGTGGCATTGGATCGACCGCCGAGCCAGCGGCTGAGGGCGTAGGCGCAAGCCTGGCAATCGTGACCGGGGCGTGAGTGAAGCTCGGCACGCGCACAATGCTCCTCGGCTGACCGGCCCCTGCCAGCAACGCCGGAGGCAAGTCCGTCTACCTGAAGCAAGTCGCGCTCATTGTGTGAGTTCGCCGCAGCAAGAGGCCGAGCGCACCTCACCGCGACGCTCCAGCTTCCTGGCGCAAGTAGGATCCTTTGTGCCTGCGGCTTCGGCTCGCATCGGTCTTGTCGACAAGAGTAAGTCGAGTCGAGGCCCTATGCCTGCCTCGCTGATGCGTCGCGCTCTAGTCCTCACGCGGGTGCAGGCTGCCGAGTCGGTCGGCCGGCTGCAGAGCAGGTGGGCAGCGCACAGCAGGCCGAGCATCGCGACGACGCTGACGGCATCGCAGCTTCACCCTCGACATGGGCCAAGTCAGCCGCGCGCTGCGCAGCGCCACGCCGCGCTCGCTCATCCTGCTGGACGAGATGGGCAAAGGCACTCTGGCCTCTGGTGCGCCTGCCGCGGCAAAGCGACAGCCACCACCGACTGACGCTCCGCCTAGACGGTGCGGCGCTCTTTGCGGCCACCTGCCTGGACCTGCTGGAGCGCGGCGACAGCTGTCCACGCACTCTCGCCGCCACGCACTTCCATGGTGGGTGCCAGAGACGTGCGCCGTCATAGCCGCGGCTGCTCACCGCTAGCCGGCAGACGTCTTCCACCACCGCTTCCTGCCCGCGTCTCTGCCGTACGCCACCGCGCACATGGCCCTGATCATCGACGACACGGCCAGCGGCCTCGACCAGCTCACGTACCTGTACAAGTGAGCCCTACTCGCGCCCGCACAACGTGTATGCCCGCTTATCTAGTGGTATTCCGCGCCAGGGTGACGCCTGGCCTTGCTCTGCAGTCCCATGCGAGCATCTGCGCCCGTGCCGCCGGCTTGCCGGCCCACGTCATTGAGCGCGCCAACTACGTGACGCAGCTGGCAGCGAAGCACGACCTGGCGCGCCTGGCGCTCGAGGACGCGCAGTCTTCCGACGAGGAAGAAGAGGGCGCAGCGCGTTCTGCGCGCCCGTCGCGCACCAGCAGCCGCAGCGTGCGCAAGGCCGAGGCCGTCGCGCGCCGCTTCGTCGAGTGGGACCTCGAGACGGAGAGTGCCGGCGGCGACGGCGGGGCATCGCGCGAGACTACGCTAGCCAAGCTGCGCCAGGTCCTTGGCGGCAGCGACGACGACGACATCTGATGCCCTTCCCTCCCTGCCGCGACACCCGCCCGCTGCGTAATGTCACTTTTGAGGCTCCGGCGGCTGGAGCACGCCCTGCACCTGCTCGACGAGCATGCCGAGCTGCGCCGGCGTCTGCACCATGCACGGGCGCGCCTGGCGCATGTGCGCGACAATGTCGCGGGCGGCGCGCGTCGGCGGCGGCAGCTGCTCGTCGTTGGACTGCACGCGCGCCATGACGGCGGCGAAGAGGCCGCCGCTCGACGGCGACGCGGGTGCGGCGTCGGCGAGCTGGCGCGTGGCGGCGGGGGCGTCGCGCGCGAGGAGGGCGCCGATGAGCGTGCCGCTGCGGCCAACGCCGGCGCTGCAGTGCACCCACAGCGGCGGCTGCGCGGCCGCAGCGTCGGCCACGGCGCCGTGCTGCGCCTCGGCGTCGATGGCAGCGATGAGGGCGCGAAAGGCGGCCGCCGAGGAGCTGCCGTGGTCGGCCCAGCTGGTGAGATGCAGCTGCACCACCTCGTGCACTGGGCCTGCCGCGCCGTGCCGCAGCCGCAGCACGCGGCGTGTCAGCTCGCCGGCGTCGGGCCCGCCGACACGACGCTCGCCTGCCGTGCACACGGCCCACTCGCTGCCCGCGACGGCGTGCCAGCGCCCGTCGGCACGCGGCCAGTAGGCGTCGGCCTTGGTGCGCCCGTGCTCCTCGAGCGCGGTGAGGTTGACGAGCAGGCGCACGTCGTGGGCGACGAGCGCGGCAAAGAAGGCGGCGTACGTATGCGGCGGCGGCGCCTGCGACGCCACGAAGGCGCGCGCCGCCGGCTCGAGGCCGGGCACGAGCGAGGCGTTGAGGTAGGGCCCGGGGAGCATGGCGTGGTCGTCTGCGCGCGGCGGTCAGCCAGGGTGCACTGAGTATGCGGTGCACAGCGCTGCGCATGAACGACTGCTGCGGTGCGCATCGCTGGAGAGCACTGTGCCGCTGCGGCAAGGCAAGGCAAGGCAAGGCCGCACTTTGAGGGCCGGTGCAGCGGGAGGCATGCCTTGCCGCCGTGTGTCACGCAGCGCTGCACACACCATCTCGCACCGCACCGCCGCACACACCATCATTCGCCGCACCGCCGCAGCACTGCACCCCACGGCCGCCCACTCACACGGCAGAATGTCGGCCCAGCGGTTGAGGAAGGCGTTGGCCATGCCCTGGGCAAAGCTCGGCGCCGCGGCACTGCTGCTGCCGCCGCTGCCGGCACCCGCGCGGCGCCCGGCATCGAGCGCGGCGCTGCGGGCCTGCGCGTCGGCGGCGTCGAGGGCGCGCAGCACGCGCTGCAGCGTGGAGGGCGAGGCGGGGCGCGGCATGGCCGGCGATGGAGGGCGGGAAGGAGGCCGGGAGCGCCGGCGCAGCACGCCGCGCGCCTCAGGGGCCGCCGCCGCGCTGCCGCACGAGAGCGGCGCGCCGCTGACACACGGGCCTCGCTGCGCCGTGAGCGCGCAAGCACGCCGCTCAGCACGCCTACCTCCTCATCGCAGTGAGCGTACATCCTGCAGCACATGCGGCCAGGCGTGAGCGCGGCCAGGCGGCGGCGAGAGGCGGAGGCAGCAGCAGCAGCAGCCGGTGCGCTGCTCCGGCGGTGGAGCGTGGGAACGGCGCTGAGGCAGCAGCAGCGGCAGTCACGCGCGCACGCCTGGCTGGCGCTGCATGCTATGCTGCCTTGGGCCGCCTCGCCCGCAGCGCAGCGCAGCGCCGGGCCGCCGCACAGCCGGCCGCGCGCTGTCGCCGTGCCCCGCGCCGGCATCGCAGCGCGGCGACGGCGTGGCCCTCGCTGCCGTCGCACCACCACACTCGACTCCCTCCACCGCCCGCCATGCTGCCCACGCCTGCCCGCTCCGGCCTCTCGCTCCTCGTCGGCGTCAAGCGCTGTGTCGACTATGTGCGTCGCTGAGGCGCTGTGGTGCCTGGCTGCGGCCCGAGGCCGGCATCTGTGGCAGTCGCTGCACGCGTGGCCAGTGCGGCTGCTGCTGTTGCCAGTGCGGGCTGTGCTGGCAGTACAGGCAGCGGCACTGCTGCATGACGGCGGCTGCTGCGGCTGCTGCAGCCAGTCCAGCAAGCAGCGCCCGCTGCCGCTGCTGCTGCCGCCCACGCCGGCCACATGCGGCTGCTGCCAGGCTGGCCCCATGCTCACACCTCAATCTCCTGCAGGCCGTCAAGATCCGCATCCGTCCCGACGGCAAGGGCGTCGACACCAACGTCAAGAACAGCATGAACCCGTTCGACGAGATCGCCGTCGAGGAGGCCGTGCGCCTGCGCGAGAAGCACAAGGGCGACGTGTCGCGCATCGTGAGTGCGCCGCGGCGGGTGGCGGCGCAGGAGGGCAGCGGCGGCAGGGCAGGTATGAAGAGATGGGCAGGGCAGGGCCTGGTCGAGGAGGCGGGCGCGGTCAGGTTGCCTCGAGGGCAGTGGCAGGCCACAGTGCTGCAGGCACGCTGAGAAGGCATGGTGGGCGAGGGCGCGGCGAGTGAGCTGCGACGGCGCAGCACTCGCGCTGCCGTTCCGCTGCGCCGTCGGCTGCCCGCTCGGCTGGCTGAGTCAGTGGAGCACCCCCTTGGCATGCGCCAAGCGCTGCGAGCGGCTTGTGAGGGGTCCGGGCACGAAGCAGAGTGCACAGCGAAGCTTGAGACTCGCGCAGCGGCAGGGCGAGCTGGGATTTGCCAAGGACGTGTTCCGGCAGCTTCTGGTACGCAAGCAGCCCGAGCACGCCCGCTGACATACGTGCGACAGGCCGCCGTCTCGATCGGCCCGGCCAAGGCGGCAGACGTGCTGCGCACGGCGCTCGCCATGGGTGCCGACGACGCCATTCACGTCGAGATCCCCGCCGACACGGTCATCGAGCCGCTCGGCGTGTCGAAGAGTGAGTCGCCCGCTGCGCGCTGGCACGCTGCACAGCAGCTGACTCGGCGCCGCAGTCCTGGCTGCCATCACTAAGGCCGAGATGGAGAAGGGCCCGGACGACGAGGCATGGGCGTGGACGATGGGCAAGCAGGCCATCGACGACGATGCGTCGCAGACGGGCCAGATGCTCGCGGCGCACCTCGACTGGCCGCAGGCGACGTTTGCCAGCAAGCTCGAGTTCAAGGGCGGCTTCAAGAAGGGGGAGAAGGTCGAGGTGACGCGTGAGATCGACGGCGGCCTCGCCACGATGGAGACGACGCTGCCCTTCGTCCTCACCACCGACCTGCGCCTCAACGGTGAGTCGGGCCGGCGTGCGGCCGTGCGCGCTGTGCTCATGCTCCGCTTCCGGCAGAGCCGCGCTACGCCTCGCTGCCCAACATTATGAAGGCCAAGAAGAAGCCGCTGAAGAAGGTCACGCTCAAGGACCTCGGCCTTGAGAACGAGATCTCGCCCCGCCTGGAGACGCTGGAGGTCAAGGAGCCGCCGAAGCGGCAGGGTGGCATCAAGGTGCGGCGACGGCGCGGTATGGCGCACGCACGACGGCGGCTGACATCTGCCTCCTCCTGCAGGTCGAGAATGTGGACGAGCTCATCGCCAAGCTCAAGGAGAGCGGCCGCATCTAGAGTGCCGCAGTCGCCGCTGCGCACACAGCCTTCTACGCTCCATCTGAGTGCGCTAATTCTCGCCTCAGACGCACGGCATCGTACACCTAGCAGCAAAGGATGACATTAACCTGCAGAGCGCCCGCCAGCGGCCACCTCACGACAGCCACACGGCGTGGCTGGCGCCCTCCGGGCGGCCGTCGTCGCCCGTGCCGGGAAGCGTGACGCGGGCGAGCTCCTTGAGGTCGCTGCCGTCCCAGCTGAGCACGAGCACGTGGCCCTGCTCGTCGTCGGTGAGCACGGCCAGGTCGTGCTCGCCGCTGCCGTCGACGCCGCCCTGCTCCTCGGGCGACGCCATGAGCGGGTAGCGCGGTGCCCACTCGATGGCATTGGCCTTGCCGCCGGAGCTGGGCGTCTCGAACGTGGCCTTGAGTGCGCCGATGGGCCCGCCGACGGTCGCATTCGGGTCGTCGACGACGGAGTTGGGGTGCAGCGCCCAGGCACGCACGAAGCCCCGCACGCCGGCTGTTTTCCCGCGCGTCGTGGCCAGGATGGAGGTGCCGGAGGGCGAGATGCGCACCGTGTCTCCGCGATACTGCTCGCGGTCGTCCTCGTGCTCTGCAGATCTGCGGTCAGCAGGCGCGGGCGCCGGCGAGACGCGCACGGGCTCACCCTCGGGCAAGATGTCGACTGTCTGCATGTACTCGAGCCGGCCGTCGGGCATGACCTCGAATGCGTCGACGTATGATGCTGCGGAGGGGTCAGCGCAGGGCGGGGCGCGCGATACGAGGATGCTCACTGTGCTCAGTCACCTGCAGCAGAGGGCGTCAGCAAGACGCCCGGCACCCGCACGCCGAGCTACTCACGCTGTACACCCACCGCCCGTCGGCACTGGGCACGACATGCCGCGGCCCGTCGCCCTTGCGCGGCGTGGGCACCTCGTGCAGCAGCTCGAGCTTGCCGCTGGCATTGTCGCGCGCATACACAAGGATCGCATCGCGGCCGCTGCGGCACGGCGCGTCAGCAGACGCCAACTAGAGAGAGACGTGCTGCTCACAGGTCTGCCACGTATGTGTGCCCGTTGACGCCCGTGTCGATGCTGTGCGAGCCGTAGCGCTGGCGCCGCAGCTGGGCATGAGCAGCAGATGCAGCGACGCCGGCGCGGCGGCACTCACAAGGGCCTTGCGAGTCTTGTCGGCGACGCGCAGCGCGCTCGGCCCGCCCTTGAGGAACACGATCTCCTCGATGCGCTCGCCGATGCTGCCGTCGGCACGCAGCGTGTGGCTCTCGCCCGTGGGCCCGCCGGCCGAGTAGAGGACACGCGAGGCGCCGGCCGCGGGCGCGACGCCGAAGCCGGGCGCGGTGAGCGAGTGGAAGGCCGGCGGCTGCACGGAGACGTAGGAGGACGTGGCGGCTGCGGTGCCAGTCAGCATAGAGGATAGGGGTCTGTGCTGCAGCACTGCAGTGCACCACCGCGGCCGTCGCCCTCGCGTTGCTGCAGCACTGTGCACCACCATGGCCGTCGCCCTCGCGTTGCTGCAGCACTGTGCACCACCATGGCCGTCGCCCTCGCCATCGCTGTCCCGCTCACTCGGCCCACTCACTGATGGGCACGGCGTTGAGGAGCCGCACGTGCGGGTCGCCGCCGCCGCCGGCCAGCGGCCACTCGAGCGCCCAGCTGCTGATCTCGGGCGCCGCGGCCCACGTCGTCGCATACACGCGGTCGACGGCGTGCGGCGGCGCGGCGGCGCTGCGCCCGACGCACAGGAACTGGTGCGGCCCGCGCGCGGGCAGCGGCGCCAGGAGCACGAGGGCGCGCGTGAGCGAGTCGAAGCGCAGCAGGTGCAGCGCGGGCGAGTTGAACGTGCCGGTGAGCAGGTGGCGGATGCGCGGGCACTGCGACGACGAAGCGGCGGCCGACATGCTGGGCGGGTGGTGGGTGCGAAGGAGGAGGCGGTGAGTCTAGTCTGTGAGCTGTGCCAACTTCGCGCTTGCTGCTTCCAGGCTGGCCGCTGCCGCTGCTGCGCGCTGCCACGCCGCCCGCTGCTGTTCCCACGCACCCGTCTCCGGCCGCGCCGTCCGGTCGGCGGAGCGCGCCGTGCTGGCTGGCCCCGCTTCATCACGCCCCGCGCGCGGCCAGCCTCTCACTTCTTCCCACCACCACTGCACCATGGCACCCACGTACGACCCCAACGACTCCGGCCTGCTCCTCGTCTTCAGCGACCCCGGCGCCGACGCCACGCTCGACGAGTTCCACGGTGCGTCTCGCGGCGCCTGCCCGCCCCTGTCGCGCCCTCCACTCACGCCCGCACAGACTGGTACGACAACGAGCATGTGCCGCTGCGCACAAAGGCCTTCGACACGTTCACCTCGGCCGCGCGCTACCAGGTTGCCTCGTCCGTCGCCTCCAGCACCACCGCCGCGCCGAGCCCCGTCTTCTCCGCCGGCTGGGGCGCGCTCTACACCATCTCCACCGCCGCCACGTTCGACGACCCCAAGTACACGTCGCTGCGCACGCAGCGCTCGCCGCGCGAGGCTGAGCTGCTGGCACGCGTCGCCACGCTCGACCGCCGCATCTACCGCTGCGTGTACGACTCGGCCGCGCCGCAGCCGCGCGACACGAGCGCCAGCGGCGCGCCGGCGCCCGTGCGCACCGCGCCGCTGCCCGCCGCCGAGGCGTCGCCGTGCGTCGTGTGCACGAGCGTCACGCCCGCCGACGGCTGCAAGGCCGAGTACGACACGTGGTACGTCGAGGAGCACGCGCCGCTGCTCGCAAAGGTGCCCGGCTGGCGCCGCAGCCGCCGCTACGAGCTCGTCGACGCGCTCATCGTCGGCAAGCAGGCGCGCCCCGCCAACGCCGACGGCGCAGAGGTGCCCTTCTGCCTGGCGCTCAACGGTGAGTGCGGCGCGGCGCTGTGCCGCGCAGCCGACGCTGACCCCACACACCACGCCCGCAGAGTGGGACTCGCCGGCCTTCCAGGAGACGGCCGAGTTCAAGCACCTCATGAACACGGAGTGGCGCAACAAGGTCAACGACCCCTCGCGCATCGTGCGCCGGGAACGGCGGGTCATGGAGCTGTACCGTGCGTGGGAGTGCGAGGCGGCGGTGGCCGCGACGAAGCAGTAAGGGGCAGCCGGGGCGGGAATAGATTGCTACTTGCTACGACGAATAGCTGGAGACGTCTCTTAGAGGAACAGGAGTGCTTGGGTGCGCGCGGCCTCGAGCGATGGCGGCTCGCCGTGCTCAGCCTGCTTCGTTGATGGCACAGCAGGCGAAGCTGCTCGCGTGTCGCAGTCCCAGTCAGAGTCAATGGAGGCCTTCTCTCCCTCGGCTTCTCGTCGCCGTACGCACCCGCAGAGGGCCTCCCTGGCAGTGCGGAGGGGTCAGCACCGGCCGAGCATCGCGCTCTAGGTGTCACGCACCAGATAGCGCAGCACAGGATGAAGCGCAAAGCGCAGCAGAGACAGTCGCCGAGGCAGCGCAGCATGTCCCACACGCACAGGCACGGACAGCAGAGGCAGCGCCAGAGCGAGGCGCAGCAGCCGCCGGACGAGGCGTGGCGTTGCGATTCGAGGTCCATTCTGGCTTGTGTGTCTTGCGCGGCGGTGAGGCGCGAGGCTTGGTGATGGTGGTCAAAAGCGGCAGACAGCAGCCGACGCCTGCTCTGATCCGATGAGCTGGAGCAGGCGAGGCTGTGCCACGCAACGGGACAGCACTGCCCTGCTCAGGGGCACATCCTGGGCCTCGCCGCTGCGCGTCAGCCCCTGTCTGGGCCTCGGTTCTGGCGCTGCCTTTCGAGGCCGCTGCCGTCGCGCGCGGGGAGTGAGTGACGTACGATTACAAGTGAGGTCGAACAGAGTGCTGTATCATACAAATGCTGTGGGTGGTCGAGAGAGGTCGCATGTGAGAAGAGAGAGGAGGAGCAGGCCTTGCGGCCGAGGGTGGCTAGGACGTGGCCGGCGCGTCCTTGCCGGAAATGATGCCGCCGGCCGCGTAGAGGGCGCTCGAGCTCGTCGAGCCGTGCAGCGGGATTGCCTCGTCTGCAGGCGTGAACCATGCGTCGGGCACGAGGAGGAAGGAGGAGTCGAGGAAGGTGAGGAAGCGCTGCCGGTACAGGCCGGGCGTGATGACCGTCGGCGTCGCCTTGGAGCCGCCGAGGCCGGAGGCTTCCTTGAGCCACGACTCGGCCTGTCGCACACGCGTGTCAGCCGGTGTGATGCTCCGCTCCTGGGCCGCGCTCTGCTCACCTTCTTGTCCCACGTATACGTGCGCACAAAGTCGATGATGCCCACGACGAGCTCCTTGCGGTCCTTGTCGAGCCCGACGACCAGGCTGTAGTCCATGACATTCTGGCGCTCGAGCCACAGGCTGTCGTTCCACAGCGCGGCGCGCAGCAGACGCTTGTCGTGCTCGCGCACGAAGAGCGGGCTCTTGCTCGCGATCTCGACGAGGTTCTCGTCCAGCAGCACCTCGTCGGCGCGGCCCGTCTCGCGGATGTGCCGGTTGCGCAGCGAGCCCTTGAGGTCGAAGATCTTGTGCATCTGCCGGCCGTAGAAGAGGTTCTGTGGGGCTAGCGTGAGCGATGGGCGCGACGGAGGCGATGCACAGCCGCGCACCTCAATGACGAGGCAGTCGAGCTTGATGCTCTTGCCCGTCTGCGTGTTGCGGATGGAGATGCGGAAGCAGCCGAAGATCTTCGCCAGCGTCGTCGGTCGAGCGCCGAAGATGGCACCCGCCATGTACTGGAAGTAGCCCGTGGCGCCCGAGAGGAAGGCCTCCATCTCGGCACGCGAGAACTCCTTGATCACGAAGCGGTCGTCCTGCACACGAGAGCGTCAGAGATTGCCGGCGCAAGATCCGGACGCAAGACTGCTCACCTTGGTCTTGAGGAACGCGCTGCCGCTCTTGCCGCCGCTGCTGTCCCACTTGACGCAGCGGCTGAGGCTCTGGATGAAGCTCTGCTCGCAGCCGCATGCACGGCGCAGCGCATCGAACTGCTCGGTAAAGAGCGTGCGGATGTGGAAGCGCGAGCCGCCGCTGTTGAACTCGAAGCGCAGGTGTGTGCCTTCGGGGCGCCGCAGCTGGGCCTCGAGACCGAACGCCGGCGGCCGTGACTCGACAGAGATCGTGTCCCACCGCTCAGACGAGAAGGTGCAGTCGCCAGCGTCTGCCGAAACGACTGTCTCCGACGCGTGCGAGGCACGAAGCGTCTCCAGGCGGTGCTGATACGTCGAGGAGCTGAGTGTAAACTGCAGGCACATTCGTTAGCACCGGAACAGGGCTCGCTTATCTGAGGCACTCACAGCGATCAGCGACGAGGGCTCGTCCTCGCGCAGCACGACGCCACTGTCGGCGAAGAAGTGCTCAGACGAGGCGATCGGGTAGTCGAGCAGCGGCAGCGCCCTGCCACGGCCCCACAGCGACGAGAGCGTCTTGGCGAGAAAGGAGCCACCGACAGTCATCGCAGAGCCAGATGCCGTTTCCGAGTGGGGCGTTGTGACAGTCGGCAAGGAGACGTCTCTGTCTGTCGCGCTAGTCTTGGCGAGCGCGCTGGCGGGCACGCTCTGATCTCCAAAGAGCGAGGACGTCTCGCTCGTCGGCGTGACGATCGGCAGTCCCTCCACGCGCCCGGCAGCGGCGCTGCGCTGCGCCTCTGCGGCCTTCGCCGCGTTGGCGGGCGTGATGGTAGCCGTCGACGCCTCGCGCCTGCTGGCGCGCGTGGCCGGGCCGCGTTCGGCATCTGAGTCAGCCTCGTCCTCGGCCTCGCCGCCAGACACGGCGCCTGCATCGGCCTCGCCGCGTGGAGGCTCGTCGTCACTCGTGTCGCTCTCGTCGTCCTTGACAGCGTCGAGCACGTTCGAGAACACCTCGACTCGCGCGTGCGTGGCTGCGACTGGCTGGGCGCGGCGTGCGCGGATCGCAAGCACACGCTGTTGGCGCTCGCGTTCGCGCTCTGCCTCCTTATTGAGGCGATCAAAGTGGCGCGCCATAGTAGACACACGCGAACGGCCCGCTCCACCGGAAGGCGTGACAGTGCCGCTTCCAGGCGTCGGCTCGCGTCGGACCGGCACGGGCACTCGACTGCTCGCCGAGGAAGGATTAGCGCGCAAACGACTGGCAGTCGCCGAAGGCGGCCGTGACAAGGTTCCCTTGGAGCCGCGCGCTTTGGTGTCTTTCTCGCCCATTGCGGATGTGCTGCGCTCCGGCGCAAGAGCAGCAGCAATGCGACCCCGACTTGCACTAGCGGAAGATGCCGAGCTGCCGCGAGGACGGGGCCCAGCGAAGTCAGAGTCCGTCTCGCTGTGCTTCGGAGGCCGGTACGAGCTTGGCGGCCCCCGGCGAGCGGCAGGTCGGCGTGCGACAGGTGAGGTCGGAGGAGCATTGTCCAGACCTGCGGTGGGCGCTTCGGTGGCGCGAGGACTGGTCGGCATAGAATTGGCCATGCCTGCTGCACCGCGAGCCGGCTTCGAGGGCGAGCGCGGCCGGCCGCTCAGCCGAAGCGCTCTGGGTGCCTGCCTGACCGGGGCTGCGCTCGACTCGCCGTCGGAAAGGCCAGAAGTCACGACGTTGTCCGGCAGCATCGCGCCGGCAGTGCGGCGCTGAGACGGCAGCGTTGCGTCGTCGGTCTTGCCGCGGCGCAGGCCTGGTCTGCGGAGCGGAGTAGACCTGCTATCAGTGGGCGAGAGACTGCTGCCCTGCTCGGGGCTTTCGAAGCGCCGAACGAGCTGCTGGACAGAGCTGTCGTTCTCAGTCTCAGTTGAAGAGCTGTCTCCTTTGCCGAACTTCTGAGCGCGTCGACGCCGCCAGGCTGCGGGCGTGCTCGTTGCAGAGGGCTTGCGGTCATCCTCTGGCGATGCATCGGAGTCTTTCGGATCCACATCGATCTGTGGCGTAGGCGGCGCTGTGCTCGCAGCGCTGATGGCAGCAGAGGTCAGCTCGGAGGGTAGCTCGCTGCCGAGCTCGTCAAGAGAAGACGAGGGCTCGAGCGCGGCGCTTTGAAGCGAAGTCGTCAGCTGCGCCGCGAATCGCTCGGCATCTGCTGCATCTCTGCTGTCGGCATCGCTCCGGCGAGAGCCTGCAGTCTCGATGCCAGAGTCTACACCGGAGGCAGCCTGCTCGTCGACCTCGACGGCAGGCGCAAGGCTCAGACTCGACTCTGCGGTCATGGACGAGGCGATCGACGGCGCCGCAGTGCGCTCGGATGGGTCGCGCTCGGCGAACATGCGCGACAGGCCCGATGTTGTCAGGCGGCGCACATCCCGCTCCGAAGGGAGGTGTTCGCGCTCGAACGACTCAAAGTCGCGGTCCCAGCGCACAACTGCCTCTTGCAGGCGGCGGCGGACTACGCTGAGGCCGAGGACATCAGTCGGCTCGGTCTCCTGGCAGGTGCGCGTGAGAGCCTTTGCCAAAGTCGTTGCGTCGACCTCGGCGCAGGTGCTCATCTCGTCCAGCAGGGCTAGGCTCTTGGCGACGAGAGCGGCATCGCGGCACGAGTTTGCTTCGTAGCGCAGTGCGGCGATACGCGTGCCGACGCTCTCAAAGTATGCCGCCATGCGCCGTGCCAGTGTCGACGCCTCTTCGCTCTTGAGCCGGCCGTCGGTGTCGGGCCTGCTGAGGAGACTCAGATGTGGCAGGGCCACGTCGCGCACTTCCACTGCGTCCGTGTGGAAGCGCACAGCCAGGTTCTGCAGCGCGAAGAAGCGGACGTGGTCGCGGAAGAAGTCGTGCCCGCAGGGCGTCTGCTTGGCGGGTGGCTCCGGGCTGAAGTGCAGCTCCAGATACTTTGCGAACGACAGGCACAGCGTGTCTGGCGACACGGGCGTCACGGGCGACGCCTGCTCGCAGCGCTTGCAGTACGACCACTGCGGAGTTGCGTGGTCAGCGCGGACTGCATTGTGGGCCGAGTGTCTCTGACTCACCATCAGCATGCGGCCCTCCTGTCCTGGAATGGGACACACGAAGCGCTCTAGAACAACGAGCACGCGCGCCTCGTTGTGCACGTAGACTGAAAAGTGAGACAGCCGTGGGCGGCCGCACCCTTTGAACACACAGGCGACGGTGCTCTCGGAGCACATGCGCTCGAGGTACCGCCCGAGCGTCTCGTCGCCCTGGCCGTAGTACTCGACCCTCCGAAGCTCCGGACCCTCGCACGGCCGCTGCGTCGCCGACGACATGACCGACACGAGCGTGACGATGCGCTGATGCGCGAAGGGCGCCAATGTCTTGCTTGTTTGTTCCTGCGCTTCCCAGGCGCGCTGAGCCTCGTCGTGCTCCAGCTTCGCGATGCGGTACTCCGTCTCGCGAGCGAGCACCGATGGCTGCGGCAGCACCTCGTCGAGCGCAGGCAGCGTGTCGGCCGAACCTGCGCGCAACGGGAGCTCAGGTCGAGCTTGGGCCTTGGTAGAGGAGCGCGTCGGCGTCTCGGGCGCCTCTTGCGCAGCTGCCGCCCATTCGGGAGCGTCCAGATCAACGGCGCGCGGCGTCTCGTCCGGGTCTTCGCTGAGTCCGGGCGATGTACCGCCATCATCGACAGCTAGCAGATCGGTCTGCGACTCTTGCAGCTGAGGAGCTTGCGACTCGGCTCTTGTGGGCGTGAGTGTCGACTCCTTTGCTTCAGCGGCAGCCGTCTCCTCGTCCAAGCGAATTTGAGCCACCTCCGCCTTGGCTCGCTCCGCTTCGAGACGTAGCAAGTTCTCGTGGCCTTCGCGCAGCTTCACGAGCGGATACGGCGGCTGCAAACGGACCGCGGCGCTGGCATTGAGCAGCGTGCGCTGGTAAGGTCGAAGAGCGCGCTCGATCGCCTTGCACAGCTCGTCTGGCGCTGAGCTCTCGAGAGCCTGCGCGTACGACAACTTGCGCTCGGGCGGCGGTGGCGGCGGCGCCAAGAGCTGGGTGCCTTCATCGCGTGCGAGGCACTCCTCGAGCCGCAGGTTGTGAGCGACGTAAACGCAAAGGTCGAGCACAGCCTTGACGCGGCCAAGCAGAGCCATGCTGCCGCCTCGCAGCACGATGGTGGCGGCCGCACCGCCCGTTGCAGCCTGCATCCCGCCGCTCATCAGACCAGCGGAGGCCTCGAGCGGCATCTCGCGGGTCGGCGCTGGCGCAAGGAAGCGCATCAGCGACTTGCGCGCCGAGGGAAGTAGCGCGTGCGTGTAAGTCTCGACGCTGAGGCTGGCACAGCGTCCCAGTCGCGGCTCGAGCGCGAGACGATCGATGAAAGGAATGATGTCGGCGCTGCAGCAGCGCGCGATCGCCTCGAGCGCACTCTGCTTGACGCTCCAGACGACTGTCACGCCTGCTTCCTGTGGGCCAAGGGCGTCTCAGCAACGCCAGAGCTGAGCCTCATCTCGCTTCTGCTCACCTCCAGCATGTCGATGGCCAAACGCGAGACGTTGTCGCGCACCACGAGCAGATTCGGCCGCAGCTGGACAATGCGCGCGATCAGGACTCTGGTGTACTCCTTCTCGTGCATCGCGCGGTCCAGGCTTGTCAGACCCTGTGTGCCAAAGTCGAGCGGGAAAGCCAGCAGCATGACGCGCGGACGGACGAGCGGCAGGTTGCGAGCCATGCGCTTTGTGGCCACATGCTTCGAGAGCACCACACCGGGCACGTACACGCTGTCGCTCGGCTCGCCGCCAGGGATGCGCTTGAGCTTGAGGTAGGCGCGCACATCACAGGCCTCGCCTGCGCGCGGACGCGGCCGCACTTTGCTGCAGACGGTCAGAATGAGGGGCAGCAGAATGTGCGCCCAGTTGTGCGTGTCGGGAATGCGTGCTCGCACCAGGCACTGGGCGAGCATCGTGCGCAGATATGCGAGCGACACGGGCCCGAGTCCATGCGCCGGCACTGCCTCGAGGCCTGCGCCTGCGCCCTGCACACCGAAGTAGCTGTCGCGACGCGACACGCCCAATGAGCCCGAGCCGTCCTCGCCGTCGCGAGCGCCGTGCACATCGTCCAGGGTTGTCCGCGTCCGCAGCCGCGAGCGCCGGAATGCTCGGAGCGCTGCATCGCTGACAAGGCGCGAGCGAGCGTCGCTCGACAGGCCGGCAGCAGCATCGCTCGTCAGTCTGCTGCGCGTGTTGGGAGATATGTCCCCTCCGTCCCCTGCCGCAGTCTCGGCACTGTCGCTCGAGCGGGTCGGGAAGGCCAGGAGCGGCACGGTACGGGACATTGCAGGGCCCTCTGCCTTGGCGTCGCCAGACACAGGCTGCCGCGCACTGGTAGAGGCGGCCTGCGCAGCCGCCTCCACAGCTGCCTCGCCGGGCGCTCGCTGCATGAACTGCTCGAGATCCTCGTCCGGGGTGGCTGGCGCTTTGTCTTCGTCGCCTAAGCCTCGGCGGAACGGTGCGGTCGCGGCAGCTATCACCCCCTCTTCCTCCGAGATGCGCCGGTCGATGCGGAACGCTGCCATGTCCGGCGTAGCTGGTCTGCTCATCCGCTCGTCGTCCCAGTCCTGCCCGAAGCCAGCCATACCGCCCATGCTCAGCGTGCTCGGCAGACCGCGCGAGCGCGCAAAGAGAGCATTGGCGCCGAACTCGGCCTGCGGGCTATGCGTCGAAGCCTCAAGAGGCGCGCTGATGTCCGTCTTCTCCAAGGCGCTCGGCCCCGAGCTCGCCGTGCTGTCCAGTCGCGCGCGTCTGTGCCTCGACATGCTGCTGGGGCCCGTGTCGCGCAGCAGCTTCACGCAGCCGTCGCAAGTACGTGCCGGAGGGCCTGGTAGCCCATTGGCGCCGCGCGTAGGGAGCATCGTGCTTGCACAGCTGGCGCAGAAGACGAGATAGCACGTGCGGCAGTGGTGTCGTCTGCGCCAGGTGCTGAACTGCATGCCACATCCGCCGCACGCGGCGGCGTGGTGATCTGGCAGCCAGAACCGGCGGTCGCCGCCAGGAGCCCCCTCGCGCAGACGGCGGATCGCCTCGGCAGATGAGGGTGCAGGACTGGCACGGGCGCCGAGCGCAGAGGTCGATGCGACGTTTGGCATCGAAATAGACGGAAAGTCGAGCTCGGAGCGGGGGCGCGACGAGGTGGAGCGAATGGAGCGCGCATCATCGGCAAGCAGGTCGCGCGGCAGCGGGAAGCCCGGCACAGCACCCCAAGGCGACGGGCGCGAGCTGTTGAGCGCTCCGAGCGAGTCCGTGTCTCCTTCGCCTGCGTCCTTCGCTGCGTGCGCATGCGCATTGGCCGTACTCGTCAGCGCCGAGGCGCGCGTCGAGCGCAGCGCAAAGGGCGCCAGAGAGCGCGCCGTGGCCCGCGACGTCGCGGCAGTGGACGGGTAGGAGGACTCGCCAGACGAGCGCAGCAGCGAGACCGTCGCCGCGCTGCCGAGGACGGGCTTGGAGAGCGTGCTAGACGTGCGGCGCTGCGACGAGCCGGACGCATGCGATGCCAGCCCGCTGCTGGCGCTGACACCGCTGGCCTTGCGCGGCGCCGCGGCGTTGGGCTCGGCGACGGAGAGCGAGGGCATGCGCGAGCCGGGCGGCGCGGCGGTGCCGCTCTTGCCGCCGCTGGCGCTCGAGGCGCCGGCGCTGGCGGGCTGCGTGCGGGCGCGCTCGGCGTCGGGCGCATGGGCGGCGTTCGGTGTGCCGGCGGGCGCCTGTGCCGTCGCGGCGCCGGTGAGCACGTCGCGCACGCGCGAGAGCAGCTGCCACGGCGCAAAGCTGGCCTCGCCGGCGTCGCCCTCGGGCGGCAGCAGGTTGAAGGAGGTGAGCTCGGCGTGCGGCGACGGCGGCGCCGCGTGCGGCCCGGCGCCGGCCGTGGCGGAGGACTCGGCCATGGCGCACGGTGCCAGAGGAGTGCACGAGCTGCGCAAGTGTGGCCGACGTGTGAAGTGTGTGGTAGTGCGCAGCGGCGTGCCAGAGGGCTCGTCGTCGTCGAGGGCACCTCTCGCACTCGGCGTCGGCGAGCCGTGCACGCGTCTCGGGACTCGGGCAGCGCCCGCCCCCGCATCCGCCAGCTCCACTCCACTCGACTTGCTCCTCCTTCTCGGTGCTGACCGGCGACCAAGACCTCGTGCAGAAAGCGGCAGTGGCTGCACAAAGGCACTGTCTGGCGTCTTCGGCCGAGCGGCAGCACGACGAGGGCATGCGCTTCGGAGCCGGCGGCCGGGCTGCTCGTCAGGGTCCACGCGATGCTCCGCCGCCGCTGACACAGCGCGCAGCAGCGTGCATAGCATGGCCTCGCCGCAGGTGGAGCAGGCCCGAAGATGGGCCAGTGCGGCATCCATGCAGCAGCGGCAGCGTCTTTCGTCGGCGCAGCGCCGTGCTGACATGGCTCGAGCTCGGCGCCGAGCGGCTGCGAAGGGTGCCGCTCCGAGCGAGGCCCCGGCGGCGCGCGCGCAGATCTTCTCGCGGGGAGGGGTGGCCAGTGCACGCGCGTGCCCTCTTCCCTCCACACCCTCACCTCCCTCCGCCATGAGCTCCATCCAGATGGAGACGCCGCTGGCCACCGCGCTGCAGCTCGTGCGCTCCGCCATTGGCTCCCTCGAGGGCGCGGCAGGCAGCAGCAGCGCCGGCGCACTGCAGTCGCTGCAGCTCGCCGCTGCGCTCCTCGGCGGCCTCGACCCGTACCTCGACGCCAGCTCGAGCCGGGGGCCGCCGGCGCTGCAGGCGCTCATCGACGAGACCGAGTCGCACGACTGGGCCGGCGCCTTCCGCGACAAGAAGGTCTCCTTTGAAGTCACGAGCGGCTGGTCAGCAGGAAACTATGAAGGATCGTTCATTGCCTTGGTCGCGCGGGCCATCAAGGCGAAGCGCGTGCTCGAGGTGAGCCGGCCCGACTGTGCCGCAGCGTGGCCCGCTCGCTGACACTGCGTCCAGGTCGGCATGTTCACGGGCACCACGACGCTCTGCATCGCCGACTCGCTGCCCAAGGACGGCAAGGTGCGCGGCGTGCTTGCGCTCGCGCTGGCCCCATGCTCACTCTGCCCTGCAGCTCATTGCGCTCGAGATCGACGAGTACTTCAAGCATCTGGCGGCGCCCTTCTTCGCCAAGGCCGGCGTCGCCGACATCATCGACGTGCGCGTCGGCCCTGCGCTCGAGTCGGTGCAGGCCATGGCGGGCACGGAGGAGCCCTTCGACCTCATCTTCATCGACGCAGACAAGACGGGCTACCACGACTACTACGAGACGATCATGTCCAGCGGCCTGCTCGCCAAGGGCGGCGTGCTGCTCGTCGACAATACGCTCTACAAGGTGAGCGCTGCTGAGCCGCTGCTGCCTGCTGGCCCTCTGACACGCTCTCTGCGCAGGGCCTGCCGTTCACCGAAGCACTCGGCGAGGCCTCGAAGGAGCAGCTGGGCCATCTGCAGCTCAATGCCGACTACGGGCGGGCGCTCACGGCGTTCAACAAGCATGTCAACGACGACGCACGCGTCGAGGCGTCCGTGTTGCCGATCCGTGACGGCGTGACGTGGATCATGCACGCCAAGTAGGCGATAAATTGAAAGGATGTCACGCACAGAGAGCCCGATCTCGGCGCAGGAAAGACGATGCGCGCCAGGCTGCGACCGTCTTGCGGATCAGCTCCGCGTCCACGGGCGCAGCCTGGCTGAGGCTCTCCGAGGCGCCCTCTGCCTTCTGCGTGAGCACTTCCCGCTCCTCTGCGGGCTCCGACAGCTGTGGTACAAGGCGCTGCTCAGCATATGCCGCATCCTAGAGGCAGACACCACTCACGTGGGCCCAGATGCTGTCGACCAGAGCTCGCCCACGGATCTGCGCGCCAGCCTTGCGCAGCGCCGCGAGCCATTCGTCGTTGGGCTTGGTGTCGAAGTTCACTCCGGCAGCCTGCAGCCAGCCGAGAAGATCGGCCCACGCAGGTCGGTGCTTGTGGGGCGGCGAGACAACATGGACGTGTTCGAGCTGAATGCTCGGCGAGAAGGCCAAGTCGATCAGAGCAGCGGCTGCCGTGTCCACGGGCAGCCAGTCGATGTCCTGAAGGTACTTTGTCAGCCAATGCCCAGGCAAAGACGCAATCTGGCTCTCACTGGTCCTGATGAAGGCAGGCAGCCTACCTCGTCCGCCGTCCGCACGAGCAGCGGCCATGCCTCCGTCTCGTTCCAGATGCCGTGCTCCGTGTCGCCGCACAGCTGGCCGACTCGCGCGACGGTGACGCGATCGCCGGCGGCCTGGCAGAGGCGCTCGGCCACCCACTTCGATTGCCCGTAGCCGGTGGCGCCTGCGTGTGCAAAGTTGGTGCTCGCCTCCTCCTTGACCGGGCTCGGGGCGACGCCGACACTGGCGATGGACGAGCAGAAGACGAAGCGGCTCGGATGAGAGGCGGACTGGAAGATCTGGAGCAGCTCCTGCAGTGCTGTGGCGGCGGAAAGGCTCAGACGACGGATGTAGTGGGACAGGAAGCAGCAAACTCACGCTTGATACACTCAGTCTCGAACGAGGCGAGGCTGAGGGCAAAGTTGACGATCCAGGCAGACTGGGCGACGCAAGCTGCCTCAGCTATGCAGCTCGGCTGCAGACCGTGCGCCTCACTCACGTGGATGACGACAAGGCGCTCCGCCTTCCGCAGCTCAGCGACTGTCGCATCGTCGAGGCTGGACAAAGCGACGATCCTGGTCTCCACGTCTGAGCCTTCCAAGCCACACTTGCGCTGGCGCAGAGCCAGGCCGATGCGCTTCTTGGCAGACTCCGCGTCGGGCGCTCGAACGAGGCAGTACACAGCAGCGACCTCGGCAGCCGGCTTGCGAAGAAGTGCACCAAGAATGCGCGAGCCTAGTGCTCCGGTGCTGCCCGTGAGCAGCACCGTAGCTGCGCCGCTTGTCGATCGTGCCTGTGCCGTGCTGCGATGCTCCTGCAAAGGCTGCACGTACCGCCGCACAAACTCATCAGCGAGCGCCGCGGGCTCGCTCTTGGCGGCCGTGTCGGAGCCCTCGATGAACTGTGCAAGCCTGTGATAAGATTTTCAGCCATGCATTGAAGCGTGCTGGCGCGCAGCGCACCTCTCGACCGTGCCGCAGTCATAGATCACGTTCGCATCCAGGCGCAGCTTCGACTTCGCAGCCCCTTGCTATGGCAGACATCAGCGCCCGTCCGACAGCCCGGCTTTGGCCTCACACTCACACGAATCAAGGCGGAACGGAAACGCGCGGCCATCAGAGAGTCTAATCCTGACCCGTAGAAGTCTGTGTGGTCCTCAACCTCCTTCCCAACCAGCTTCTTGAGGTAGCTTCGTAGCCATGAACGGAGCTCCGCGCCCTCTCGCTGCACGACCGGCTCGTCTGTCAGCGGATCGCCCCGATCGAAGCGCGCATACACTTCGTTGATGACGTCCGCGAGCTGCTCCATGGCCAGACCACGCTGCAGCGTGCCCTTGGACGAGCGCGGCAGGTTCGCGAAGAGGTCTGCATCTCCGATGTGGATGAGCTCGCCTGCGATGCGCGCATGACTTGGTTGTGAGAGGTTGATCGAGTCGAGCTCGGCCTCGAGCTTGCGACGGAACTCCGCCTCCGGCTCGTCCCGATGCGCCTCTGCCGGCTGGACCACGGCGCCCAGCATGGGACGGTTCGATCCAAAGACCACGGCGTTGGCCACGAGGCTGGATGCAGCCAGGGCTGTCTCGATGGGAGCAGGCGCAGCCTTCTTGCCATTGACCTGCGCTGCGGTGTTAAAGCTATTCGCAACACGCCGCTAACTTTGCAAGACGCACCAAGACTATGCTGTCGTCGGATCGGCGGGCGTAGCGCCAGTGATCGGGCTGATCCGGCCCTCTCTCATACAGGTCACCAGTGGCGAAGGCTCCGTCCTCTCTGTTCGAGACGATCTGGGTAAAACACAGTCAGTCGAGAGGCAGACAGGCGGACAATGTGCGTCACGCACCTTTGCTGGCCAGTCGCTCGACACGATGAGCTCATGCAGTGGGTCGCCCTCTCCCTGCGGCTGGAAGAGCAGCCATTTCTTGCTTCTGGGGTCGGTCACGCGCAGCCACGACCACGCCTTGTCCGTCTTGAAGTCGCGCCAGGAGGACATCAGGAAGCCGCATTCCGAGCTGCCCAATCGGGAGACAAGGTGCATGCCTCGCTCGACCATCGAGTCGCCCACGCTCTCGGGCAGCGGCGCGCCGCCGGTGCTGACGAGATCCATCTCTCGGAGCAGGCTCGAGCCTTTCTCGTCCTTGGACAGCATCTCCAGGATGAAGGGCACAGACAGAAAGTAGGCTCTGCAGACTGACTCAGCCGAGCAGCACATAGACGACGGCTTGGCACTCACATTGGCTGGCCGCATGAGCGGACGGAGAGCCCGATGTTGCCGGCAGACGGGGCGCGCTGCTGGTGCCAGCCAAAGAAGAAGATGGGGGCAGCCGCCTGGAAGGCGCGCAGCAGATCGGACAGGCCGCCGTGGAAGAGCGGCGTTGTTGTGAACGCAGCCTTGTCGGCGCCCGGCGCAGTGGTCAGCGACGAGGTCCAGAAGCGGTGCAGCTGCGAGATGGGCTGCGAACGCGCGTGAGCTGCGCTGCTGCCGCTGACGAACGATGCTCAGCGCACCTTCGGATTGCCGCTCGAGCCCGACGAATGGAAAATGACGAGCAGATCGTCGCCGCTGCAGCTGTGCACCGGCTCTGGCGCCGGGCCCTCCACATCTGTGCTCTCTGGGCTGCAGTGGTCAAGCCAGGATGCGCAGAGCCCATCTGACTGGAGTTGCGCTTCAACCCTTCCAGCAAGCTCGCTCTGACTCCTGTCCGCAAGAACGAGGCAGCACTCGGCCAGGCGGCACAGGTTTGCAGCTCCGTCGGCCGTCGTGCCGATGCTGCGAGGGCGTCAGCGGGGTGCGGCGCTGCAGCTCGCGAGCAAGGCAGACTGACGCTATCGGCAGGATCGCGGCTCCCAGCTGCCAGCAGGCGACAACGTGCAGCAGAAACGCTGGCCCGCTGGGACCCAGCAGGGCGACGACGGGCTGCTTGCGGCCCGAAGCGGCCACGCGCTCGCTGAGTCTTGCGCGCAGCTGTGCCGCCACGTGAGCCGCGCCGTGCCAGAGCTGGCTGTATGCTGCAAGCGAGAAGCGTTCAGTTCCATAATCTCGGTGGCGAGGGCGTGCGACGCTCTGGCGTGCTCACTCCAGGAGAGGCATGGCTGCTGCCCGTCGCAGTCCGGAAAGCCGACGGCGAGCTGGGCGGGCGAGTGCCGCGCGCGGTGCTGCAGTAGGGCGGGGATCGTAGCGTGCTTCTGCGGCTCGGGCTCGTTCGGTGCCGCAAGACTGCTGGCAACCTGCCCGACGGAGAGGGACAGGTACGGCGGCAGCGCCGGCTGTGCCTGTGCGGACATGCTTGGCAGCTTGAGGATGGTGTTGGGAGAGGTGCGTCGCTGACGTTCGCGGCTTGGCCGAGGCGGAGCCACATCCGCGCGGCGGCGCGGTCAGCGCGCCCCTTCGCTGCGTCTGCCGTGCGGCTCGCCGCGGCGTTCAGGCACCGCGAAGTGGAGCAACGGCCGGCCGGCCGGCCGAGCGCAACACCTGCCTCAGCACCACCATCTCCCGACGCCCAAGCACAGCAGCCTCCAGCATGCCGTCGTCGTCGTACGACGTGAGGCCTGCCGGCTCGACGGCGCTGCTCTGCCCGCGCTGACCCGCGCCGCAGCCCAAGGAGATGCGCTTCCGCAACCTCGGGCCCTCGGGCCTGCGCGTCAGCCTCTTCAGCCTCGGCGGCTGGCTCACGTTTGGCGGCAGCGTCGACGACGCCGCCACGCGCGACATCATGCGCGCCGCCTACGAGGGCGGCATCAACACCTTCGACACGGCCGAGGTGTACGCCGACGGCGAGTGCGAAAAGTCGATGGGCAAAGCGATCCGCGAGCTGGGCTGGGAGCGCAGCGACCTCGTGCTCATCACAAAGGTCTTCTACGGCGTGCGCGGCAGCGCGCCGCAGGACCCCAACGCCACGGGCCTCAGCCGCAAGCACATCATCGAGGGCACCAACGCCAGCCTGCGCCGCGCCGGCCTCGAGTACTGGGACGTCGTCATGGCGCACAGCCCCGACGTGACGGTGCCGATGGTCGAGGTCGTCAAGGCCTTCAACCATCTCATCACGACGGGCGTGCGTCTCTCTTGCGCTCTGCGCTGCTCTGCTCATGCTCACGCTGCGCCCGCAGAAATGCTTCTACTGGGGCTGCTCGGCCTGGTCGGCAGAGCAGATCAGCGAGGCGTACGGCATCGCCGAGCGCCTCGGCCTCGACCCGCCGCTGGCGGACCAGTCGCAGTACTCGGCGCTGCACCGCGAGCCCGTGGAGAAGGACTACCTGCCGCTGTACCGCAAGCATGGACTCGGCCTCACGATCTGGTCACCCTTGGCTTGGGGGCTGCTCTCGGGCAAGTACAACGACGGCATCCCCAAGGGCAGCCGCTTCGACCTCAACGCCGGCGGCACTTTTTCCGGCGCCATTGCGTCGCTGCAGTCGCCCGAGGGCCAGGCGAAGCTGGAGCGCGTGCGCCGCCTCGCCGCCATCGCCGAGCAGCTCGGCTGCTCGACGGCCGTGCTGGCGCTGGCGTGGGCGGCCAAGAATCCGCACGTCTCGACGGTGATCCTCGGCGCGTCGAAGGTGGAGCAGGTCCGAGAGAACCTGCAGGCGCTGCACGTCCTCGACAAGCTCACGCCCGACGTGCTGCAGCAGATCGAGGCGGCGCTCGACAACAAGCCCGCGCCGCTGCCCACGTTCGGCCGTGAGTGAGCGGGAGCAATGCAGCAGATCAAAGCGCGCATCGCAGGAGTGGAGGTGTCCAGACGGCTGCCACACGGTTGGTCAGCACGGCGGTCGGGACCCTGGGCGGCGGGAATGGTGCGGTGCCGCCGTTCTTCGCGCGGGGGCCCAAGCACCGCTCAGGCACGCCGACCAAGCGGCGCATGAGGGCCGGCAGCGCGGCACGAGGACAGCGGCCGCACCCGTCTGCTGATCATGTGGAAGCATGCATGCACCTGCAGCGCGCACGGGCTTCGAGACGCAGCATGCACTCGAGCAGTGTGGCGCACCGACGTCCAAGGCGCTGGACCCTGACCGCGCTTAGTTGCGCTCGCACGCCTCGCTGCAGCTCGCTGCATGCTGCGTCAGCTTCCTGCCGCTCTGCGTCACGCAGCGCCGGCGCTGTCGGAGCGTGCAGCTCGCATCCACACGCCGCGCACCGCTGCGGCTGCGGGGAGGGGTGCGACGCAGGACGGTGCTAAGACGTCGGAGCAGGCCAGACGGGCCGCGTGCTCACGTCAGCGATCAGCAGCAGGCAGCAGAGCACTCGGCTCGAGTGCGCCTCGCGGATCAGCTCGTGGGCCGCCGACGGCATGCCGCCATCAGCTGCACCATACGCGCTTGACAGGCGCCCCTGCCGCACGCTTGCATGTGGTCTCCTCCTCAGCGGCAGGGTGCAGAGTCAAGAGAGCTGCGGCTTGGAGCTGGCACATGACGCTGCTTGGCAGCCCTCAGCAGGACGATGCTGTAGGGCCCCACCTGGCTTGCCGGCCGGCGTGCTCTCGGAGGCGGCACTGGCGGCGCACGACAGCGGGCGCACAATATAGAGTCGGCCTGCGCCTCGGCCCGGATGCGCACGAGCTGGATGCTGAGAGACGGGCCATGCATCAGCATCCTGGACGCTGGGAGCTGCACGATGGATCGCAGCCGGCGCGCGCTAGCCACGCGCACGCAGCGGGCACGATGCGAGACGGGCACGGCAGAGCAAGGCTGAGCCTCCGGAGGCCGATCTTCTGCGCACGGACCCGCGCCGGAGCCTCCGAGCGCGGCCGTGTCGCCGCGAGCCTCGGCTCGCGCCGTGCCGTCCCCTCGAGCAGCATACATGCTGCCGTGTCTGGCTCAGCTCCAGGCGGGAAGGATGCGTGCTTCGTATGCTCGTCTGTGCCTGGTGCTGGGTCAGGGGCGGCAGCCGTCGCTGCCGGGCGTCGTGCGACACAGGAGTGCGGCGCCACCCACGCGCGTCCCTCTCGGCACCGCCGCACGCCGCGCGCCGCGGCGGTTTCCCTTTCTGGGGCATCCGCTCGCCGACACTGGCGGCCGGCCTGCTGCAAGTGCGAGGCACGTTGCGTGCTGCTGCTGCTGCCGCTGATGGCGCTCCGGCGACGGCTCAAGTGCTCGCCGGACCCTTCGAGGGCGGTGCGGATGCCGCCGCACGGGCGCACACTGGCGGCGTGCCGCGCGAAGAAAGGGGGAGCGGCAATGGGCGCGGGCGCGGGCTGTATGCGTGCGACAGTCGTGCAGTGCCCGAGGCCGCGCACAGCCAAGAAGACTGGCTCGAGGACGAGGGTGCTCCACGCGGCCGGCGTTGGCGCTGGCCTCGGCGCGGCGCTTGGTCAGGACTCAGCAAGCGGCTCAGCGTCAGGAAGGAGCGTTGCGTGCTCCACAGGCCAGGGCCCGAGGCATGCCGGAGCCGCCGCACCCGTGGCCTGCCTGTGCTGTGCTCGCTGCTCCACTCGGCACCGCCTGCCCTCCGTGGCCGATCCTCAGCACGGCAGGCGGCGAGTGCGAGCGCTCAGACGGCCGGCTCCACCTGTGTCAGCAGCGCCGCCGCCTGCGCACGGCCGCGAGCCTCATAAGCGGGCACTTCGCTGCCCGCCTCGCCGTCCCGCCCACCTCGCACCCTGCCTCCTGCCACCTGCACACCGCAACCCGTCACCGGACCGCTCTCGCCCAACTCACTCTCTTTACCCACCACCACCCGTACCGCCACCGCCATGTGCTCCTGCGCTCCCTCGTCCGACATGTCGGGCACCGTGCGCGAGCTGCCGGCCACCGCCAACACGACGGGCCCCGGCTACGCCGTCGCCGGCAGCGAGGAGCTCAAGTACAGCTACTCATTCGTCGACAGCGTCTTCGACACTAAGAAGGAGGACCTCTCGGCCTACTACACCAAGTGGGGCCGCGTTCTGATTCTGCTCGACACCAACGTGGAAGCGCTGTACGGCAGCACGATCCGCCAGTACTTCGACCACTACTCCATCAAGCCCACGCTGCACGTCTTCAAGGGCGGCGAGCTCAACAAGACGATGGACACGATGCTGCAGTTCTGCTCGGCGATGGACGACTTTGGCCTCATCCGCAAGGAGCCCGTGCTCGTCGTCGGCGGCGGCCTCGCGTCCGACGTCGCCGGCTACGCGTGCGCCAGCTACCGCCGCTCGACGAACTACATCCGCGTGAGCACGACGCTCATCGGCCTCATCGACGCCTCCATCTCCATCAAGGTCGGCCTCAACTACGGCAAGCTGAAGAACGTGAGTGGCGGCGGCGGCGCGGAGTGTGTGCGCGCGCGGGGCAGACATGCGCGCGCGTCTTTCGCTTCCCTCGCCCTCACTGACACCCAAACTTTGTTCAGCGCCTCGGTGCATACCACGCCCCCATGCACACCTTCCTGGACTTCGACTTCCTCAAGACGTTGCCGATCGGACAATGCCGCAACGGATTCGCGGAGATCATGAAGATCTCGCACGCGGCCGAGAAGCAGACGTGGGACCTGCTCGTCAAGTACGGCCCGCAGCTCGTGGAGTCGGGCTTCGGTCGCAAGGAGAACGGCAGCGCCGAGCTCAAGGAGGCCGCCGACACGATCTGCCGCCGCGCCATCTTCAAGATGCTGGAGCTGGAGTCGGGCAACCTGCACGAGATCGGTAGGTCGGCCTGACGCCGTGGGGCGACACCCGAGGCTGACGCTTCCTTGAAGGGCTGGATCGTGTTATCGCATCCGGACACGGGATTAGCCCCACGCTGGAGCTCGCGCCCTTCCCGCCGCTGCGCCACGGCCACGCCATCACCGTCGACATGAGCTTCACCATCATCCTCTCGCACGCGCGCGGCCTCCTCTCCGACGCCGAGCGCGACGAGTGGTTCACGCTTGCCCACGGCGTCGGCCTCACCATCGACCACCCGGCGCTCGACAACGCGCTGCTGCACGAGAGTGTCAAGGCCATCGAGAAGACGCGCGACGGCAAGCAGCGCTTCGTGCTCGCCGGCCCGTACGGCGAGTGCTGCTTCGCCAACGACATCGTGAGTAGCACGCGCACACGCCGCCCGCATCCCTTTGCTGACCACGCTCGCGCATACAGTCCAAGGAGGAGTTCGAGGCGACGCTCGCTCAGCTCAAGACCTACGTCAAGGAGCGCTTCCCGGAGTACGCCGGCGAGGGCCAGGACGCGTACGCCGACGCCAGCGACCTCGGCGCCGACCCGGAGGCCATGAAGCAGGAGAAGGCGCGCAACGGCGAGAAGGCCGCACCCACGAAGAAGGCCGCCGCCAACGGCGTGCTGCCGGCGCTCCAGTCGCAGCAGGCCGTCGCCGCATGAGCCGGCCACCGTCGGCCACTGCTGCTCGCCGGCTCTGCTGCCCACCGCTCGTGCCCGTCTCGCGTCTCTGCTCCCTCTCTCCTTTCCCCAGCACATTCTGCCTTCTGCGCGACACACCGCACTGCCTCGTTACGCCATTCCTGTCCCCAGCACCCCTCCGCAAGACCTGAACCGTGTCACTAATGAATCGAACGTCGCTGCCTGCCTGCTCTGTCTGCCTCCGATCCGGCGCGTGTCGCGGCACAGAGGCGGAGTGGTGCCGCCTCCGAGCTTCTTCCTGCGCTGCGAGCTTGCATAAGCCTGCACAAACCTCTGCCGGCGAGGATCTGCGGCTCGGAAGTCGGCCACGATGAGGATGGTTCAGGGTCCACATGCACGCCTTACGTCATGCTCCACTTCACGGACGGAGCGGAGGGATGGCCGGGCGGTGAAGCGGAGGGATGGCCGGGCGGCGAGCACGTCCGTGCAGCGGCTTGTCTTCTCTCCACCGCCTCCTCAATGTCAGACGCATCCAACGCCCGGCCGCCGCACGGCGCACTTGCGTGCGTCGTGCTCGCGCTTCTCTCGCTCGCGCTTGCACCGCTCTCGCTGGCCTTCGCACTCGTCGGCGCGTCCGCGGCCCGGCTGGGCGGCGGAGGCCCGGCGCTGCCCAAGGGCGACAAGCGGCCCACGGCGCTGGTGAATGGCGGCCGCATGCAAAAGTCGCTCTACGTCGTCCGGGCACTGGCGGCGCAGGGCTACCGCGTGGTGCTCGTCGAGGAGAGGGGCTGGAAGTGCGTAGCGCCGTGTGTGCAGCGCATACACCCCGGCTGACGCTGCGTCTGCCAGTCTGTGCGCCACGCGCTTCTCCAACGCCGTGCAATGCTTCCACCCCGTGCCCGGCGGCGGCGGGCGAGAGTACGTCGATGCGCTCGTGGCCATTGCGCTGAGCGAGAAGGTGTCGCTCTTCGTGCCGTGCAGCGGCGCCGGCACGACGGTCGACGATGCACAGGCAGCAGACCTGATGCGTGAGAAGAGCGGAGGGCGCATCCGCACGCTCATCCAAGACGCCGAGCTGGCTGCGACGCTACACGAGAAGGTGAGAGGCACCGATCAATGCGGTCATCATCCCAGCTCATGGGCCTCGCGCTGTGCAGGACCGCTTCATCGACCTCGTGCACGAGCTTGACCTCGCTGCGCCCGAGTCGCGCATCGTGCGCAGCCCCGAGGCGGCCTTGGAGTACCTGCGTGCGCAAGATCTCTCCAAGGGCGGCGTGCTGCTCAAGGCGGCCACCGTGCTGGACGACGTCGGCCGCGCAGACATGACGACGTACCCTCTGCTTTCGCCCTCCGGCCAGCCCGACTGGTCCGCGACGGAGAAGCGCCTGCGACGCGGCCTTGCCATTCCGATCGCCAAGGACACGCCGTACATCGCTCAGGAGTTCATTGGAGGTATCGGCGCCAGCGAGTGGTGCACGCACGCCACGGTGTGGGAGGGCGAGGTCGTGGCGTTCGTCTGCTGCCCCAGTGTGAGCGAGCTTGGCCAATCCAGCCCAGTGCCAACTATCTGACGGCGTCTGCACCCTCTCCCGCAGAACGACATGCTCATGACGTACCACAACGCGACGCAGACCGAGATCGGCCGTCTTGCGCTCGCCTGGACACGCACCTTTCTCGAGCGCCTGGCCAAGCACCCGCAGTGGACACACGCACGCCTCAACGGCCAGTTCTCGCTCGACTTCATCCACCAGCCCGCAAGCGAGCGCCTCGTCGTGATCGAGTGCAACCCGCGCGTGCACACGGCCGTGTGTCTGCTGCAGGGCTCATCCGCAGCGTTCGGTGCGGCGCTGGCTGGCCGCTCCGAGAAGATCGTCTTGCCAGGCTCGCGCGTGACTGCCATCAGCTGGCTGGGGCACGACCTGATCGCACGGATCCTGCCTCGTGTCCTGCCAGCCGGCTACGGCCGCTCGCTGTACGGCGCAGCATTTGTGTCCAACAGCGCACAAGCAGACGCCAAGGATCTCGACGTGCCGTCCTACAACCTCGAGCAGGTCGGCCGCGACGGCGCATGGCTCGCGAGCGACCCCATCGCCTTCCTCGCCTTCTACCACCTGCAGTGGCCGTGGCTGCTCCTGAGGCAGGCGGTCGTGCGCCGCCGCTCCTGGTCACGCCTCAATCTGAGCACTGCCCGAATCTTCGAATGCTGAAACGCAATGCCACATGTATGGAACTCGCTGCCGAGATGCATCAAGACAGTCATGACATTGTTCGTGGCACACAGCGGCCTACGCGACCCAGCTGCGGCTTGCGACGCGGTACACCTTCACCACGCCGCTCTTGAGGTCGTCGAGACGCAGGCTGACCTCCTCTGGCGCCGTAGTCTTGCGCTTCGACGCTGCCGCGTCGGGCAGCAGCACGACCTTGAGCTTGTTCTTGCGCTCCTCGTGCTCGACGCACACGGCGATGCTCGGCTCGTTGGGCGAGCCGAAGCTGGTGTGGTACTGCACGATGCCGCGCTTGCCCTTGAAGTCGGCGCCCCACAGACCGACGACGTCTCCCGGCCGGATGACGTCGGCACCGCGGTCGAGCACGGTGCCGCCGGCAAGTGCGAGCAGAGGCACGCCCCACGAGGCGCCCGCAGGCGGCAGTGCATCGGGGACGGATGCAAGCAGCGCGGCCACAAAGCCGCGCGACGTCGCAGCCTCGGCGCCGCCGACGGCGGCGCTCTTGGAAGCTGCTGCTGCGGTGGCATGATGAGCTGCGAGAGCGAGCGGTGTCAGTGTCAGAGCCGACCAAATCAGTCAGATGACGCTACTCACCGACAGCAGCACCGATCGAGCCTGCCCACATCTGCAGCGTCTCGGCGCTGGGCGCAGCGGGCGGGAAGTGGTGCTCTTGGCTGAGCTCCGTCTCCGTCTCGTCCACGTCGTCTTCGCGCCATGCCACGTGGATGTCCGTGCGGCTTGCATCTTCAAAGCGCAGGCGCACTACAAGGGCGTGGAAGCCGGCACTCGCCGGCGCGCCCTCGACGGTGATCGCGGCATCTGGGCGGCCGGCAAGCGTGGGCGGCAGGTGCAATGGCGATGAGCGCCACCAGCGCAGGTTGGGCTGCAGATCGAGATCGCGCGATGAGGGACGGATGGCGGAAGACGAGACGCGCTCGTGCAGCGACGGTGCGGCGTTGAGGTGCGACGCGTGCTCGAGCGAGCCGCGCCTCAGAGCGTCGCTTGCGTGCGACGAAGCACCGCGCGGCGGCGGAGGAGGGCTCTTGGGCAGCGGCGGCGGGGCGCTGAAGCCGCTCGGCGGCGCCGGAGGTGCACCACTCGGAAGCGCGGGCGGCGGGCTCGTCGGCAGCATGGGCGGTGGGCTCATCGGCAATGCTGGGGGCGGCGAGGTGGGGAGCGCAGGCGGCGGCGACATGGGCGCAGCACGGGCCGGCGGCGGTGGTGCCGGTGCGTCGTAAGCCTCGTCCTCGTCGCTCGCAACCTCTTCCTCCTGCACCTGCCGATGCACACCGCTCGGCACCGGCGGGCGCATCGACGTGCGGCGAGCCGACGACTCGCCATCGCCGATGCTCACGACTGAGCCGCGGCGGTTCGGGTCCGGGATGCTGCGCGTCGGGGCCGGCGAGGTGGGCAGAGGCGGAGGCGACAGCGGCGCGGGCGGAGGCGGCGGGCGTGACGCCGGCGGGATGGGCGGCGGGCTGGCGAGGCGCTGTAGCTCTGCCGGCTGCTGCGCCGGTGTATCGTCCTCAGGCGCAGGCGCCTCGCTGACGACGGGCTCGATCTCGCCTGCCTCCGGCTCGGGCTCAGGCTCGCGGCGACGGGCCGGCATGGGCGCTCCCATGATCGGCGGCGGCATGCCAGGCAGGCCGCCCATGCGCTGTCCACCGAGACGCGCCATGCGCTGCGCCAATCTGGCGCGGCGCTGCGCCTCTTCCTCCTCCTCTGTCAGCTCTGCCGGTGCGGCGTCTGCGGCGGCTTCGGGCTCGACGGGCTGAGGCTCGGAGGGTTGCGTAGCTGGCTCGGCTACGAACGCAGTGTGAGCACAATGTCGGCTGCACGCCGCGAGATAACTCACGTTCGTCAGCCTCATCGTCCGACTCCTCCTGCGGCATGGCGGCTCGAGGTCTGGGAGCGACCAAGATGCTCGGCTGGCGCGGCTCGCTCATCGCCGCAGCGGCAGCACCCAGACTGGTCTGCTGCTGCTCCTCGTCGTCGTCATCGTCGGCTGTTTGTGCAACGGCCGGCAGCATGGGCGGCGGACTGCGCGGCACAGGCGGCATCGAGGTGCGCTTCTCGCCCATCGGCGACGGCAGCGAGCGACGCGGCGGGGCCGACGCGAGCGGCGAAACGGTGCCGCTGCGCTCCGGCACGTCGCTGGGCGGCGGCGGCGGAAGCGAGGACTTGGGAATGGGCGGGCGCACGGACGTTGGGCGAGGCGGCGGCGGTGCGATGCCTGTATCGGCGTCGTTCGAGGGGGTGGGAATGGAGCGGGCCGGCGGTGGGGGCACAGCGCTTGTCGCACTCGTTGGCAGCTGCGGCGCAGGGCTGGTGGGCAGCGGCGGCGGTGGAGCATGTGCAGGCGGCAGAGGCGCTGCGATGACCTGAGCTTCCTCCTCATCCGACTCGGGCTCCGGCTGGCGAGGCAATGCGGAGATGTGCTCCGGCTCTTCTTGCGCAGGATCCTGCTCCTCCTGCTCCTCGAGCAGCGGCTGCTGCTGCTCGTCGGGCTCCGGCACCTCGTTCGCGTCTTCCTGCTCATCAGCCAGCATCTCCTCGAGAGGCTCCTCGGAGAGCGTCATCTGCTCCTCGCCTACGTCTCTCCGTGCCTCCTCTTCCGCGCCGCCCATGCTGCCCTGGCGCTCCCGCAGGAAGCTCTCGAGCGCCTCGGCCTGACGCTTCAGCTCCGCCTCGCTCTGCGTCGTGCCCGTCGTGTCGGTCGAGCCGCGGCGCGTCGTGTCGACCGATGCAGAGAGATGCGCAGCGCCACCACCGCTGCTCAGCGGCGTGTATGGCGTCGCGGGAGCCGATGCATCGAGCGTCGAGCTGCGTGTCGGTGCCGCAGAGATGTCGAGAGCGGCGGGCTGCTTCTGCTCAGGCTCGGCGGGCGACTCTGCCTCTGCAGGTGCAGAGACCTCATCGACGGCTTCTTCTGCCGGTGCGTCGGCGGTGTCCTGGTCCAGGGACGGCGCAGACCCGTCAAGCTGCGGCAAGGCTTCGACCTGCGCAGCCGCGGGTGCGGCAGGCGGCGCCTCAGTCGCATCAGCCTCCTCGCTCGGAGCAGCGGCCGTCTCGGTGGCTTCTTCGCCGCCAGCAACCTCGGCCGCCGGGCTCTTTGGCGCGCTGCGCTTGCGTCGCGGCGGCGCAGCGCGCCGGGGCACGGCGAGAGTCTGCGGCTTGCTCTCCTCCTGCGCATCTCCGCCGTCTGTGCTGATCGGCAGCTCGCTTGAGGACGGCGCAGCCGGCGCCTCGTCGTCAACCGCACGCGTGGCCGTGTCGAGGCTGGCCGAGCTCGCGCTTGCAGGCGTCGGCGCAGCTGCGGGCGCCGCGCCGCCGAACATGGGCGCGCCCATGCGGCGCCCGCCGAGACGCGCCATGCGCTGTGCGAGGGCCGCCCGACGCTCAGCCTCCTGCTCCGCCTCGCTCTTCTCCTGCGCCTGCTCCTCGCTCGGCGCCTCGGCTTCCTCGTCGGCTGCAGCTGCGCTCGGCGTGTCGACGGGTGCGGAGTCAAGCGTCTCGCTTTCGCCGCTCGCCTCAGGCACGGCAACGGCAGCAGCTGGTGCCGAAGCCTCCTCTGCTGAGGGCTCTGCGGCAGTTGCAGCTGGATCGCTTGGCGCTTGAGCCTCGTCCACGCTCTTCTCAGCCGCAGGCGAAGGCGCAGCGGCCGGCGCCATGCCCATGCCCTGCAGCGCCACGTTGCGTCTCTCTGCGCCCAGGCGTCCCGGGCGTGGGGCGCCTTGCGGCACCGTCGGCTCCGCAGCTGCCGAGGAGGCGGCGTCGTTGCGCTGCAGCGCCGCCATGCGCTCCTTGAGAGACATCTTGATGCTGGCCTGCGCATCTGCGGCGGAGAAGGCCGGGTTCGACGATCCACCCGCACGCTCTGGCTCGTCGCCTTCGCGAGCGACAGGTGCCGGCGCTGGCTTGGGTGCAGCGTGCGCGGCACCGGCAGTGCTGCCGAGCGAGCGAGGCGCGCCAGGCAGGATAGGCTTGGGCGCATCGGGTGCCGGCGCCGGTCGCTTCCAGCCACCGCCGCCGGCGGGCCGGGGCACGGGTGCGGGCGGCGCAGCAGCGGCGGCAGACTGGTTAAAGGCGGCGATGCGTGCGGCGAAGCCCGAGAGCTTCTTGGGCGCGGGCGCCGCGGCAGGCTCGGCCGGTGCGGCTGCGGCTGGTGGTGCAGTGGATGGGGCGGCAGAGGCAGGCGCCGCTGGTGCAGGCGCGACCGGCGCGGGTGCAGCTTCCGGTGCGGGCGCTGGTGCGGCTGGTGCAGCAGGCTCCTCAGCGGCGGCGCTGACAGCTGGCGCAGCAGGCTCTTTGGCAGCAGCACTGGCCGCCGGAGCAGCAGGCTCTTCGGCGGCAGCTTGTGGCTCCGGCTCGGCGACGGCAGCTGGTGGCGGCTGCTGCTCCTCGACGGCCGCGGGCTGCTCCTCGGCAACGGCTGCGGGCTCGGGCTGTGCCGCCGCCTCGAGCTCGCGCACCTCGTCGTCGCTGAGGCGTGTCACGTTGCGAGCGGGAAAGGTGCCGTGCTTGCTGCCGTCGCGCGTCTGGCCGACGAGCCACTGGTCCTCCTCGTCGTCGTCGTCGTCGTCGTCGTCATCGTCGGCCTCGCGCGGCGCGGCGCCGGTGACGCGCACAATGTCGCCGCGTGCCAGGCTGAGGTCGTCAGCATGCGGCGAGCGGTACTTTGCGCGGGCGCGTGCGAGGTAGGGGTACGTGTCGGCCATGGTGCGGCGGGCGGATGGGGGGTGAGAGGAGATGCGCGACGTGGAGGCGCGGCAAGCGATGCGGGGCGCGCCGCTGACAGCGGGCGGAGCACAGCATCAGCCCAGCGGCCCGCGGCCAGCAGCAGGCGGGGCGCACGGCACGCCGGCACAGCGAGCATCGGCAGCGGCGCGCCGTGACGCCAGCCAAGCCTGGGCCGCTCCTGAGCGCACGCCTCCCGCACGAGAGATATTTCGGGCATGGGAACAGCAAGCGAGCCCTGCTTGCTGCTTGCTTGCTGCTTGCTGCTTGCCGCTTGCCCCTCCTCGCCTCGCCTCGCCTCGCCCTGCTCACCTCCACCACACCGCCATGCCACCGCCGCCGCCCGCGCCCACCGACGCAGCCCCGCTGCCGCTGCACGTCGTCGCGCGCCAGGCCTTCCTCTGGACGCCCGCCGACATCGCCGCCGCGCGCGCCGCGCACCACATTGCGCCCATGCTGCAGGGCACGCTGCCCATGCTGGCGCAGCAGAACCTTTTCTGCGGGCCGCCGGCCGGGCTCATGCACGAGGAGGCCGTGTGTCTCGTGGGCCGCCGTGAGTGTGGCTGGGATGTGGCTGAGTGCGCTGCGGCAGCTGTGCAGGCGGCGGAGCGAGACGGGGGCCGGAGATTCGTCGTCACGGCGTCGCAGTGTGCCGAGAGTAGCGGCTGGCTCTGCAGGAGACATAGCAACTGCTCAGTGGAACGAGGAGGGTGCGGGCCCGCTGAAGGAGCAGCCACTGCGCCTGCAAGCGTGCACCAGGGGCAGCAGGGCCTCCGCAGCACGCCTCGGGCTGGGCAACTATGGCATGGCTGCGCTGACACCGCCGCTGACTCCTTCTCGCAGGCGCCGCCGTCCTCATCGCCTCGCCCGAATCGCACGACGCGCCGAGCACATCGCAGGCCGCTGCCTACCACGAGGCGCGGCGCGCCGACATCGCCGCACAACGCGCGGCCACGCGGGCCTCGAGCTCAGCAGCTCGTAGCAAGCAGCTCACCAGCACACGCGCGGCGCAGGAGAAGCGCGAGGCTCGCGCAGCACGGCGAGCGGCCGCCGGTGAGGCGCCCGAGGAGGAGGCACGGCCAGCGTCGCCGGCACCACCGCAGCTCGACGACGAGGAGATCTCATACAGCCACCTCACGCCCGCCCTGCCCGATGGCGACTGGTACGCGCCCGAGCCACATACCTACACCACGCTCGCGGCCGCTCGGAAAGCCGGCGTGTGGACCTTTCCGGCCGACCTGCGCGAGCGAGCACGCAGCGCCGTGTTCGAGGAGATGCACCGCCGCGGCTACTTTCTCAACTGCGGCCTGCGCTTCGGCGGCGACTTCAATGCGTACCCAGGTGAGTGGCGGCGATGAGCAGGCAGCTGTTCATGGTGCTGATGCGCTGCTGCGACGTCAGGCGATCCGCTGCGCTACCACTCGCACTTCACCGTACAGGTGCTGGCGACGCCCACGACACCCCTGCCGGCGCAGCAGCTCGTTGCGTCGGGCCGTCTGGGCACGGCCGTGAAGAAGGCGCACCTGTTGGCAGTCGTCGACGGCGCCGAGGAGGCAGACGAGGAGGGCAAGGCGAAGAGCCCGCAGGTCACGTTCTGGTCGCTCACATGGGCAGGCTTCGGCACATGAGGCGCACAGCCGGCGCAAAATGGAACTCGTTACGGGTCGTCAGGGTGAACATGCATGGAGGCGTGCAGATGCGGCAGCAGGGCTGCCTCGCACGGTCTCGCTCGCACTAGTCTCTATCTCACTGCTCCGCAGCGCGCTTCTGCGCCTCGCTCTGCTCTGCCGCGCCCTCCCGTGCGCCCTGCGACGCCTGCAGGCCGTGGTAGATGCCGCTGGTGCCGAGCAGCGCGTTCTCCGTCGCCATGCCGGCGTTGGCGAGCGTCTGACCTGCGCTCGCTGCAGCCTGCTTGGCGTCGTCGCCGAGGTTGTGCGAGAGCAGCGGGCCGGTCGACGCGGCGATGGACGAGCTGATGTGCGAGGCTCTGCGCAGTGCATGGCAGTCAGCATCCTCCCGCTCTTACGCCCTCTAGCCTGGACTCACCCTTCACTGACGCCGCTGGCGGCCTCCCTGAGCGCCTTCTTCGTCTCGCCCTCCTCCTGCGGCTCGCTCTCGCCCACGACGGCGCGCCAGCCCTTGCCAGCCTGTGCGCCGACCGCCTGCGTCGCCTCGCCAATCTTGCCCGTCACGGCGCCCGTCCATTCGCGCGCCGTCTGCGTGCTGGCGCTGGCATTGTCGAGGCTCGTCTGCGTCTCGCTCGAGATCTGCAGCGGCTCGCCGGGCTGCTGTGCCAGCGAGCTGTGCGCGCGCCTGCTTCAGCGCTACAGCAAGGAGCAGCGTGGGCGAGAGCACTCACGCATCGCGCGTCTCGCGCACGCTCTGCGCCACCTTCTGGCCGCCCTCGACGGCACTGCGTGCGATCTCGTCGCCGGCGGCGCGGATGCCGTCGAGCAGGAAGCCGTGCTGGATGAGCAGCTCCTCGAAGTGCTCCGTCGCCGTGCCGGGCGCGAGGCGGATGCGCACCCAGAACTGCTCGCTGCTGCTGCCGGCGGGCGCAAAGAGGAAGGAGTAGAGCAGCGGGTCGGCGGCGTCGGTGCCGAACTGGGCGCCGCGGGCGAGCGGGAAGCGCAGCGCGTTGAGCTGCAGCAGCAGCGGCGCCTCGGCGTCGCCCGTGGCAGCGAGGCCGAGCGTGCCGGAGCCGAGCGGCGCCTCGTCGCCGCCGGGCAGCAGCTGCAGGAGAGTGGTGTTGGCCAGCGAGACGGACATGCTGGAGTGGGTCTGCGGAATGGGTCTGCGGCTCGGAGATGGTGGTGGTGAGCAAGCAGGTTGACAGGAGCAGCGCAAGCGAGCCGTGCGCGTTCAGGTTGCGCGCCGCGTCGCAGGTGGAGGTGCAACGCAAGACGCCGAGCTGGGCGCAGCGAGCGGACCCTGACCATCCATGCGCCGGCCATGCGCCGTCCCGCGTGCTGCCGGTCTCCAGCAACACACAAACTGCAGCACGGTAGCACGATGTGATTAGAAGGTAAAGCTACACCACCACACGACACGGAAGGGACAGAGGGAAGAGTATGTACAGGGCAGACGGCACCGCGGCGCAGACCTCAGACGCCGCCGCCCGAGTGCGAGGGCCTGCCACGGCCCGCCGAGTCGCGGCTCGCAGCCGCCTCGCCCGTCTCCGCCGCCCAGAGACGTGGGCTGGACGCAGCCCACGGCGCCGACCAGCTGGTGCCGGCGGCGTGGCTGAAGCCAGTGGCGGCGGCTCGCAGGTGTGCCGCGGCCGGCGACGGCGGTGTGTGCATGCCCTCGAGGTAGAGGTGCTCGAGGCGGTCGAAGGCGCCGCCGGCTGCCGACGCCGCGGACGGCCAGCGTGCCGCCGCGTCGAGCTCGAGCAGCGACGTCGTCTCGAGTCGCGCTGCTGCAGCCGACTGCGGCTGCGACGGCGCGACGCCCGCTGGGTTGGTGCTTCCAGCGAGCAGGGCCTCGCCGCCGTAGTCGGACCATGCTTTTGGAGGCAGAGGAGGACGCACGTCGGCAAAGGCTGCGCCCGAAGCACCGGTGCTGCGACCTGCGTCTGCGCCGCTTGCTCCTGCGCCGGCAGCGCCGCTCCAGGCGCCGCCGGACTCGAGAGAAAGTGCGAATGCTCGCGGACTGAAGGGTGCAGGCGCCGCTGCACCGAGCGAGCGCGCCAGGAAGGCGTGCAGGTCCAGGTCGTCGTAGGATGTCTGCAGCATCGGTGCGCCGCCGCTGGAGGCGAACGAGCCGAGGTCGGCGTAGCTGCCCGTCTGCGGCAGGTCCGGAAGAGATTCGGCGTAGGAAGCCGGGTCGCCTGACGCGATGTGCTCGCTGCTGCCGCCGAATGCCTCGTTGGCAAGGCCGCTGTGGGCGAATGCGGCGGCGACGTCGAAGGCGCTCAGCCGGCCGTGTCCGCGCTCGCGGGCCGAGCTGCGCGGCGACGATGCCTCGCCGAACGCTGCCACACCGCCGTAATGGCCAGTGCGCGACGGGTCGCTGCCCGCGGCGGCGCTCCATTGCTGTTGCACCTGCGACAGCGGCGGCGTCGGCTCGAATGCCACTGCCATCTCCGCTGCGCTGAAGTTCTGGCGCAGCGTGTCCGTCGAGCGGCGGCGACGATGCGCGGAGGTGTTCTCGACGAGGCTGGGAAAGAGCGTCTGGCTGCCGAGGCTGGTGAGGTGCAGATCGTCGGCAGGGTAGGAGTACGGCTGGCGGTATGCTGTCGCCATCATCGAGATGTGCGCGTCCTGCATCGCAATGCGCTCGGCCGTCTCTCGCGCCGTCAGCTCGGGGCGCATGTCGGATGCGCCACGCTCAGACGCTGAGCCAAGCAGCGCCGAGCGATTCACGAGCTCATGAACGGACGGCGTCGAGGACAGACTGCGCTCACTGGACGCCGAGACGCTGGACGAGCGCTGCGCCTGTCCAGGCGCGAAGTTGGCGTCGAGCGCAGCTCCATCTGCGCTAGTGCGCTTCGCCTGCGACCAGTCGGCGGAGAGCGAGCGCTCGCCGGGCAGCTGCATGTTGGCGAGGCTGACGAAGCTCGGCGGAGGCTGCTGCATACCGTCTGCGGCGCCGCCGCGGTGGAGCAAATCGCCGGCCCAGTGATTGTGCTCCGTCATGCTCGCGACGCCTGCTGCCGAGGTGTCCGAGGTGTAGGCGCCCGAGCTGACGGGCGTGAAGGATGCGCCCCACGTCGACGGCGACTGCGGAGGGCCGACGGGATCGAGAAGATCCTGGAACGAGGCAACTGCCAGAGGCCGTGCGCTTCCGCTTCCAGACGCAAAGTCGAATGGCGACCCCGAGAGCAGCGAAGAGAGATCCGGCTGAGCTGAACGCGCTGCGAAGCTGTCGCGCGCCGGCGTGCCGTCGGTGCGTCCAGCTGGCGCATAGCTGCGCTCCGCCGTCGGCGCCGCCGCCTCGTAGTCGACGTCCATCACGTCGCGCGAGTCCATCGATGCCAGCAGGTCTTGGCTCGCTGCAGCGCGCGAGTCAAGCAGCTGCGAGGCGCTCGGCTCGCTGATCATCTGGCCCAGCTGGCTGAGCTGGTCCAGGTCCATCGCCGCGAACGCATCATCCGGCGAGGCTTGCCATGGCATGCCCGTCGCCACATCCGCCGTCTGGCTGCGGTCCAGCTGCGGCCGCGACGGGGCGCCCTCTGCGCCGAGCGCTGCGTCTTGCTGGGCCGCCAGGAGCGCAGCCGTGCTCCTGTCGCGCGACACGCTGCGCGCGGCTGGCGGTGTGGTGCCGTGCTGCTTGGAGAGGCGTTGCTGGTGGTGGAAGGTGTGCGTGCGCTGCTGATGCTGCAGCGTCGAGGCCGGCGGACAGTCGAAGGAGCTGATCTTGGGGTTCGCGCGCTTGGAGCTCTGCGTGCGGCGCAGTACGTGCTCGCCCTTGTGGAGGCTGCTCGAACGACCGAGGCTGCCGTGCGACGCGCCCGACGCCTGCGCAGTCGAGGGAGCGCCTGCGCTGGCTCCCCCAGCTGACTCGGTGTGGGTCTCGCGCAGAAAGTCGAGCGCACTGGCCTGCTCTTGCTGCTGCGCCTGCTGCTGGAGCTGCTGCTGTTGCAGCTCCTCCCTCGGAGAGACGAGCGGCGCACCTTGGCTTCCCTGCCTGCGACCTGCCGACTCCCGCTGAAGCTGCGTGGGTGGAGCCGCCTGTCTTGCCGGGCGCTCCCAGGGCACAGCGTCACTGAACTCGCCGTCGCTGGTCTCCGAATGGCTCACCTCGCCGCTCGTGCACTGCGAGTGCGCCGAGACGCTGGTGTCGCTCGGCGCCGAGAAGGGCGGCGGGCGTGCAGGGGCAGCAGCGTCGTCCGTAGCGGCGACGCCAGCGAGTGCCGCAGAGATGCCATGCATCCAGTTGGTGCCCGTGCCTGCGGCGCTCGAGCTGCCGCCGCTGCTCAGCGGTGCCAGCGCCTCGCGCGCAACCGGCGCGTGCGCGACGCTCTGGCTCGGCCGCCGATCCTTCTTTGGGCCCTTCTGACGCGGCTTGTAGCCGGCCTGCTCGTAGAGCTCGGGAAACGCGTTGCGGAAGCGGTCGCGCAGGTCGGTCGACTTGCGCCGGCCCTCGAAGACGGCCTCTTTCGCGATCACCGCCCAGTGCGAGCCGTGCTGCAAACATCGATGGGTCAGCTGAGGATGCACAGAGGTCCAACGCGCAGCACACGCACCACCTCGTAGCCGCGCTTGAGCACCTCGTCCTCGGCCGCCGAGAAGGGCCGGCGCTCCTTCGTCTTGCCCTTCTCGAAGATGCTCGTGCCGTCGGGCGCCTTGCTGCGCACGGCCTTGCTCGTGTGCGTACGCGCATTGGGGTACTGCAGCGCGAAATCTCAGCATCACCGCACATGCTCAAGCTGCCGCAGCCGCTCCACTCACCAGCTCGTGGTACGCGTCTGGAAAGTACGTGCGGAAGCGGTCCTTGAGGTCGCCAGGCGTGCGGCCCGAGAAGCGCTCCGAGAGCTCTGGGTCAGAGAGGATGGCCTTCCAGTTGCCGATGCCGTGCTGTGCGGGATACGTGCATGAGCATGGCTGCGCCAGACAGGGCCACGCAGCAGCAGCGGCTCACCTTGTTGCAGCCGTCGACGAGGGCCTGCGTCTCCTCGGCGTCCCACATGTGCCGCTCCTGCTGATGCAGCTTCTCGATGCGCAGTGCGCCCTCCCCACTCGCCGGCGCCGCTGCCGCAGCATCGTCTGTGCCGTCGGCCGTGCGCTCCGTGCCGGCGCTGCCCGTGCTGCTGTATGCGCGCTCCAGCGGCGCCGCGGCGGGCGCGTCGTCGGAGAAGACGGCGCGCGAGGCGAGGATAGCGGCGGCGGTGGCCTGCAGATCGAGAGCAGGCAGCGGTGCGGCGCTGTCGCCCGATGCCTGTTGGGCGTGCGTAGTAGTGGAGAAGCGCCTATCGTCCGGCGGCACGTCGGGCGCCGGCGGCTCGTCTGCTGCGAAGCCGGCATCCGTGCCAGGGCCGGCTGCGACGCCCGCAGTGCCGACCTGGAGCGGCGGCTGCATGTGGCTCATGGCGGCAAGGTGGAGAGAGTGCGAGGGCGTGGAAGCAGGGCGGCGCAGACAGTGCTAGATGGCCGTGACGGGGAGACGGGGGGCGGCGGGCGGCCGCACGTGGCTCGCCGTGCGCAGACGGGCGCCGCGGTTAGTGCGGGCCCTGCTGGCAAGACATGGTGGGGTGCGGGAGCGGCGCGGTGCGGGCTGGAGGCGCTGCGCACAGCAGCGAGCGGCAGGAGGTGGTGGACGGGAGTGAGGGAGCGGCACTCGTGGTCGGAAGAGAAGGCGTGAGGTGCGCGGCGGCGGCGGCTGCTGCTGCCAGTCGAGTGCGGAGCGCCGCGCTCACGCCGCCGCGCCTCATCAACGCGATTTTGCCTCTGCCGCCGAGCCTTCGCTGCGGCTCGGCTGCCGCGTCGTTGTGCCCACAGCGCAGAGCACGGCCTCGCTTAGCTGCAGAGCATGCAGATCATCCCGCCTGCCGGACGCAGCGTGCGCTGCCGATGCCGAGGCGAGCGCTCGTTTGCCCGGCGTCGCGGCGGAGCTGGCGAGCGCGGGGTGCAGCCACAGCGCACAGCAGCAGGCTTGATGCGCGCGCCCGCACCGCTGCGCTGCACCCTGACGAGCCGCCGGCGAGGCGCAGAGCGAGAGCGAGGCCCGATGCCATCAGCCTCCGCTGCTCTGCTCTCCCGTCGGCTGCGTCTGGCGGCCGCCGCTCCGGCCGCCAGCAGCAGGCGCTGATCAGATCGCCGCCGGTGCGGTGGGTTTTTGCTTGGTCTGACGTCGGCGTCACCAACCTCGGCGAGAGGCGCGCTACCCGCCGCGGCGCGGGCGAGGTAAGACCTCACGGCGGAGCCGCGGCGATGGCGCCCTCTGCCGAGCTCGCCTCGCTGCCCTCACCGTCGCAGTCGAGTCTCGCCGCAGCGCGAGCACGTCTTCGCGGCCTCTGCAAGGAGCAGCGGCCCACGAGCCATCGTTTCCATGCCCGCCTAGCCGAGGTGCGGCACGGCGGCGCGGCGGTGCCGAGCGGCGGGCTGAGGAGGGGGAAGGGGGTGCCGCGCCCTTGACCCAGCCTGCTCCCGCGCTATACGCGGATGCGCGCGCCGCGTCCTCGCGCGCGGCGAGCGTGCTGGTGCGGTCGTGCACAGCAGAGGTGCAGGCAGCGCTCAGGCAGCCTGCGCACGACAGAGGCCCGCACACGCCAGCGCCCGGTGCAGCAGCAAAAAGAATGCTGTCAAAAGTTGACGACAGCAGGATTCGAACCAGCGAAGCAAATGCATGTGAAGCACGCTGAGGCGGCCAAGATAACAATCTTGAGTCACACTCCGTTGACCACTAGGATATATCGCCATTCCAGGTCAGCCGCCTGGGCTTGGGCTTCATGAACCTCTGAAAGGGACACACAGCCCTGCAGCCCTTTTTCAAACTCTCTGTCTCTTGCCTGGGATGCTGCCGCGCTCGGTGCGGCCACTGTCTCGAAGCGAGGTGATGCAGAGGGTGCTGAGGGTGATGAAAGCACCACGCATCCTCTGCTGTGGGAAGAGAAGTCCTTGATGTGAGTGACAGCAGCGGCAGGCTAGAGTCAAGGCCCACGTGCGCTGCGTGCCGATCATGCCGAGCGTGGGCGCAGCGCGGCGCGGCGTCGGCGGAATTCGCCCTTGACGTCGCCGCCCGTCTAGTAGGAGGTCCACCGCGCCTGGCGCCCCCTGCTGCGTGCTGGCTCTCGAGACGCATGCCATACACATGGCCCGCGCTGAGCCAGGGCATGTCATGGGGCAACCGTCTTAAGCTGTCTCCCGCAGCTCCCGCTGCGCTGCGTTGTGCGGTCAGGCGATGGTGGGGCGGCACGCGTGACTCGGCGCCGTCTCGTGCGAGAAGACGCGTGCGCCTTGGCAGCCTGCTGCTCTTTGGCCTGACGGCGCCGGCGATCTTGCCGTGCCGAGCGCTTGAGTTGCTTCTCTCTGCTCCACTCCACCTCACTCGCCCTCGCCCGCCGCCGTCGCTGCCCGTCCGCCATGTCGACGCTCCTCTCGCCCGAGACGCTCGCCGGCAAGATGCTCTTTGCCATCCCCAAGAAGGGTGCGTCCGCGGGCGCCTCGCCCGCCGTGCCCTCTCCCTCTGCTCACCTGCGCGCTCCTCGGCACCGCAGGCAGGCTGTACGAGAAGTGCCTCGAGCTGCTCGCCGGCGCAGACATTCAGTTCAAGCGCGCCCACCGCCTCGACGTCGCGCTCGTGCAAAACCACCCCATGGCGCTGTGAGTGGGGCGAGTGAGGCGTGAGGCAGCGACATGGGCACAGAGAGGGACTGCAGCACACGAGCACCTCTGTCGCGCCTCTGCAGGCCCTGCCAGAGCTGTGGTGTTGAAACAGCCACCTCTGCTGGGTCTGCAGAGCCCCGGCAGACGCCTTCTCTGGGCGCAGCAGCACCTCTGTCCCTCCACAGCGCACGCCTCTCACACGCTTCCCTCTGCAGCGTCTTCCTGCCCGCGGCCGACATTCCGCGCTTCGTCGCCGAGGGCAACGTCGACCTCGGCATCACGGGCCAGGACATGGTCGCCGAGGCCGGCCTCTCCTCGGAGCTGACCGAGGAGCTGGAGCTGGGCTTCGGCAAGTGCGCGCTGCAGGTGCAGGTGCCCGAGAGCAGCTCCTTCAAGGAGCCCAAGGACCTCGTCGGCAAGAAGGTGGCCACCAGCTTCGACCGCCTCGCCGGCGAGTACTTTTCCAAGCTGCAGAGCGACGAGGAGAAGAAGACGATCATCGAGTACGTCGGCGGCAGTGTGGAGGCGGCATGCGCGCTCGGACTGGCAGACGGCATCGGTGAGTGCGAGCGGGTGTGCAGCAGCTCGAGGCGAAGATGGGATGTGTGAGCGGGCTTGAGCCGGCTCGCACTCAATCAGCCGAGTGCAGACGCAAGGCACAGAAGATGCGTGTAGCGCTGAAGAGGGCATGAGTGCGGCGCAGGATGTCTGGCTCTGAGCGGTGTGATCTCTCGAGCATTCTCGCGTTCTCTGCAGCAAGCTCCAGTGTTGGCGGCGAGCTGTCGGAGCTGGCGCACCACACGTGCAGAGCTTCACCTCTGCCAGGCGCTTGCGTCTGGCTCAGTGAGCTGTCGCTGACGCGCCGCCCTTGCTAGTGGACCTCGTCGAGTCGGGCGAGACGATGCGCGCCTGCGGCCTGCACCCCATCGCCACGCTCCTCACCTCGCAGGCCGTGCTCATCCGGCCGACGACGCCGCACGAGCGCGCCGACACGGCGCTGACGAAGCTGGTCACCTCGCGCATCCGCGGCGTCATTGCCGCTGCGCGCTACGTGCTCGTCGAGTACAACGTGCAGAAGAGCACGCTCGACAAGGCGCTGCAGATCACGCCCGGCCGCCGCGCGCCCACCGTGAGCCCGCTGGACGACCAGGGCTGGAACGCGGTGAGCGTCATGGTGCTGCGCAAGGAGGTCGCAAACGTCATGGACTCGTTGGAGGAGATTGGCGCGTGCGACATCTTCGTCGTGCAGCTGGCCAACTGCCGGATATAGGTGCCGCGGGGCGGCGGTGCACTCGGACATAGAGAGAGGCCAATGCAAAGTCTATACAGCTGGGCGGCGTGGGGTGGTGGTACATGGGGCATGGGGCAGCGAGAGGCATGCGGTGAGGGTATAGCAAGGGGAGGCAACTGCGGCACGGCACAGGAGCGGACGGCCGGCTAGAGCCGCCGTCCCCGGCTGGTCGAGCGGCTCCAGAACGCACGCCCAGCCGAGGGCGAGCGCGACGTCGACGCCTTGCGCGGCGGACGCGGCGTGTAGGAGTACTGGCGCGATGGCCCGATGGATGATGGCGGCTCGCCGCCGACGGCTGCGAGGCAGGGC